CGAGCAGATATTTTTCGTGGGCCTTCGCATTTCTCAATATCATTTCACTTTTTTCCACTTCGATTATTAGTTGAGAACGCAATTCGATTGCTTGTCCCTGCAGAGATTGTAAATTGTTTTCATAGGCTTGCATTTGTTCGTGCAAACCATCTTCTAATTCTCTGTCGTAATCTTCCTTTGTTTCGACATAGTTAAGTTGTCTGTTTTCTTCCACTTGCTCTTCCCAAGTTAAATAGTCACATTTCAGCGAGAGTGTCCATGGTAATGGAGGTTTCATCGAATCTTCGATTTCTTCATCGATTTCCAAGTCTGTGTAATTGCGACTCTGGATTGCTAAAAGCTTCATTGCCGATAACATACACATATCCACATCACAGGGTAATGTCTTCATATGGGTTGAAAGATATTGTTGGTGTACCCTCAATTACCGTCGTAGCTGGTAATATATATTTTCTACCAGTACCTTCCATGCCGCGACCTGTTTCACCTTTTCAAAGGCTGACGTCGACGTTAATAACTGGAAATAATCTGCCAAGGTGGTGATAGATTCTTCCATTTCTTTATACATTTTTAATTTAAATGTTTTTTTGATGGGACTATTCGTCCTCTTTTTCAAAACTTTGTTATATTGCCTTCTTGGCTTTTTTCCATTTTTTTTTCTTTTTTCCAGTTGGGACTTTGATGTCCTCTTTCAAAAATTGTATATTTTTCTATGTGGGACTGTTGTTGTCCTCTTTTTGTTATGTTTTTTTTTTTCTAATTTGCCCCGCGGGTCATTTTTATTTTGTATGTTTTGGTTTACTTTTACGGCGTTTTTTTTTTTTTAATTTTTGCCGTTTGGGTCTTTTTTTTTTTTAAATATATATATTTTTTTAAATTTTGCCTTTATGGCTCTTTATAATTTTATCCCTCTACGTATTTTTATTGGTAGCTATTCTCCTCTTTTTTGAAGAACAGCTACTTCCGCTTGTAGTGAGTCTCTTACCACTGGTGGGGGAAAACTCCTACTATTTTCTTCTAAAAGTCGCAAGATCCTTTCACTTTGACAAAAGTGAAGGCTCGAATGACCAAATGTAAAATGAGAATAGAGTCCAATCTCCCTCTTCGACTCTATTCTGTTCAGATCCTGCTCGGAGGATCAATGTTTAAATGAGAAAAGAAAACCAACCGAATGGTTTGGCTGTTGATTCAATTCTGATTTTATTTAAAAAATATGTTTCTTAAGTGCTACGAAAACTACCGCACTCAAAAGTATGTACAAAGTATTTTGTACAGCCTGTAACTTTGGCTCTTTCGCGTTTTCGAATTTACATTGAATTTTACGCGTTATTTTAATGTTAAATTTTTGCGAAACATCAACGCGAACGTTTTCATTTTTTCTTTCAATAGCTTCTAAGTTCTCAACTACTTTCAACACTTTGCTCTACAGCGGCAATTATTTCTTCGGTGCGCACTGTTCGACGTCTCTGCGTATTATCACATAGAGTAAACGTAGTGCGAGAATGATCCATGGTTAACCGAATTAATTGCTCTGATGGACGATTAGGTCGACCATAAAATAAACGGAGTTTGCGGTGAACTTCGCGAACTGAACCATTACTTTCGAAAAAAAAATTGCACGATTCGCAAGCGTTGTTTTTTGGTCAACCTGTTCACGATGAAATGACAAACCAAACTAAATTAAATATCAATCACTTGACAGCTGACAAAATGGCCGCCAGTTAAAAAAGTGATGCCAACTTAAAGTTCTATAAAAAAAAACACTTTTTATATTTTCATGCTCATGGCGACCTTGCCTTAAGAGATTCTTCTCGGATTTCTTAATTCTGTTAATAGACATTTTTGATTTCTTCTTCCTTTCATCCTTTTTGCAATGCCATTCTTATTTTTTTTTTTTGAAAGAAAATAGAAAATAATAAATAAAATAATAATAAATTAATAAAAAAAAAACCATTGTTTTTATAAAAACAACAATAAAGGGATTTAAGCCTGACCATTTTGCAACAACAAACTAAAATAATAATAGATAAATTATACTTTTTTTGTTATTTCTGTTTATGGGAATATCATTCTTCTTTGTCTAAAAATACATCCTCAATAAATATAACATAAATTCCACTGTCTTAGCGTTATACCAAAAAAAAGTATTAATTAATACATGTTTTATATGTACTTAAGATTAAAACTATTAGTAAAAAAAATAATATTTCTAGAGAGTTTATGTATGTACTTGTATGTATTTTGTAAAATTTACAAAAAAAAAAAAAATAAAATAAAAATAAAACACTACTCAAAATGCTCAAAATCTAGATATAATGCTATCAGATACAAAAACAAAAAAATACAAAATCGTAAAAACAAATTCAAAATCTAACCTAGAAACTGTGATAACGTTATATTAAATAATAATTGAATAAAGCAAACCACAAAAGATAAATACTAAATAAATTAATATTTAATAAATATATGTCTATGGCAATTACAATATCGATTACAAAATATACATAAATATTTATATGTCGATATGTGTATGTATAAACCAAAGTTAAAAAAAATAATAATAAAAAATTAATTTTAATATCTATTAAAAAATAAATTTAAGTAATAGAACAAAAATTAATACTATATTGTGTTAAAATATTTAAAAAAAAAAACTAGTGTTTAAATAAAATTAAAATATATATACCAGAATTAAATAACAGTGTTTGGCATTTTGGAAAAAGATTTTGCGTGGAGCAATGGTGGAATAAAACAAGTTAAACATTCCTCCTTAAATATAGCCGCATGACAAATGAGCGGCTGGATAAAACATTACATTGACATGTTACTTTTGAAATGGCATAGTGTGCATAAACGATGCATACTTTTGGGGGCGGTTGAGACGCGGGGAAATCTAACAATTAAAAATAAATATTCAAAAATTATCCGCTGCCATAAAATTCAACATGTATAAAATTCTGTGGATTTGTGCGCTATCGCATACGATAATGTGTAAGATAATATAGATCATAACCCACACACAGTAACGCTGCTTACAGTGGATAGCCAAGACCTCTTGACCAATTCGTATCTGACCTAAAACTGATAAAAATAATACAACGTGATAGTTTTGGACTCGGATCGGCTACTTCTTATACTTTATATGCGATTTGTGCAAATTTTTGGAAAATGTTGAAATACAGGGTGACATGAAAAAAACTTCAATCAAATTCAGACTTCTGTCATTTCCAAGCCATTCGTTCGACAGCTGTTAAAATTATTCCAGTGACAGCTCATTATATTATTAACAAGCGTACAAAAGCATTTTGGTGAGAATTTTCCAGAAAAAAAAAGTTATTCGTGATGGATTTCAAGCGTGATAGTGTGATTTCTTTATATTTGGCTGGAAAACCACAAGTGGCTATCGTTAGAGCAATCCAGTATTTAAATGTGAATAAATCTTTTTTGTCTCGTATTATCGCTTGTTACCGTGATAATGGTAGCGTAGCCCGACGTCAAGGAAGTGGGCGGCAGAAAACAGCAACATCAGCAGAAATGGTTCGAAAAGTAAAGAAGCGTCTTGATCGAAACCCGCGTCGCTATGGCCGAAAATGGGCTGAACATATCGCAATATTCCATTCGGCAAATATTGAAAAGTTATCTCGGGGTTAAAGCCATTGTAATTCCAAAAAGTGCAAGAACTTGCATCGCAACAGAAAGAAAATAGACTCAAAAGAGCTAAAGAGTTGCTTCGCTTGGCCGAAAGTGGTGAACTGCCGAATTTGGTTTTCTCCGTCTCCGATTAGAAAACATTCGTTGTCGTCCAGCAGTTTGTAAACAAACCAAATGATCGTGTTTACTTGCCAAAGAGGTTAGCGGAAAATGTGCACCTTCGGTTGGCCACCAGAACTCAAGTGTCGGCCATGGTGATGGTGTGGGCCGCCATTACAGCCGATGGTCGCTCTCCGCTCGTATAAATCGACCGTGGCATCAGAATAAATGCCGAATATTATCGCGAAAATATTCTGGATGGTGTATTAAAGCCTAGGGCACGCAAACATTTTGGCCGCAGACCTTGGATATTCGAACAGGACTTAGCACGCGCCACCCAAGAATTGTAACAAAATTAGGCTCCTCGTTTCATTTCCAACGCACAATCTCCGGATACCAATCCGTTGGACTATTGTGTCTGGAGTATTTTAGAAAGCAAGGTTGACACTTAAAAATACCAAAGTGTCGATAAACTCAAACAAGGGCTTCCCCGGAAATGGCCTAAAATACCAAAGAGCAACATTCGGGCAGCTTGTGACGGTTTCATTGGCCGTTTGAAGGCCATAATTCGTGCCAAAGGTGACCAAAACGAACGAATCTAAACTTTTTCTAAAATTTGATGCTATTTTCGACATTTTTTATCTCACTCTGAAGGCCTTAAAGTCTCTTAATTCTGTCACAATGAAATATATGGCTGTTCTGGAACGCAGAAATTCTTTGGAAAAGTTTAAAACGTTGTGTCAAACTTTGTTGGGTCCCTGGTCATTGTAACATATATGGTAATGAGTCAGCAGATGAATTGGCCAGAAGCGGATCTGAATCAGTAGATCTAGAGATCGATAGCTCAGTGAAGCCTCCATTGTGTGACTTTTTCCAAGTACTACATAAGCATTACTTTGAGAGATTCAATCAGAAATGGCTGATTGGAAACGGGATGTCCAAAAAAATATGGCCGTTGATCTCCGAACGGAGACCCACGTCACTCATCTCCTTGACGAAATCTGACCTAAAGCTTATGGTGGGCCTAATTACAGGTCACTGTAACATAAGGGCCAAGGACTTCAAAGTAAAGGGGCAACGACACCAAATACTGCAGGCTCTGTCAGGACGAGGAGGAAACTGAGACGGTGGAGCATTTACTCTGCCACTGTCTAACTCTTTATGAAGCCATACAGAGGCTACTGGGTAAGTAAATTCTGCCTATGAATCGATTTAATTTACAATCCCTGATTAACCTCTAAAAATAAAACTCGAATTTTTATTACTTTATTTAAATCTTCTTTTAAAACATCAAGTTTTGTCTCTAAGCGAACATCTTCTTGCATTCGTGACTTGTTTTATTTTTTTTGGTTTTAGGAAATGGGACTATTTCGTTTCATATTTTTACTTAGTTTATTTTTTTCGTAAGATTGCTCGGTAGCTTGAATTAGATTCGTATGCATTTAGTTGTTAGTGTGTGGGTGTGGTTGTAATTTGAAAAAAAAAAAGAATTGCATGGTATTTCTTTCCTCTGCTGCATAAAATTCAACTACAAATATTCCACAATATCGCATTTAATTGATATATTCGGGCAACTCTGCCCCACCACATTGCGGCCACGATAATTTGGACTTTTCTCGGTAAGCAATTTCCGGAATATCGGCAATATGGCAGTTTCACCATCGAGTAGTTCCGTTTCCGAACTGGCACCATACATCGACGAAGAATCGGCTTTCATGCCACGATGTTTATTGTTGTTATTCGTCGTGCGTTGTTTGTCCGGGGCAATCATGGGCGATGAGTGGTGATGGGCAGCATGCTGAATATTGGTACGATTTGCCTTACGCTGTTGCATACACTGGGTACTGGGTGGTGTCGGTTCACGTTCTCGTTCACTGTCCGTTTCACTCTGGCACACGGTGCCCTTTTGCGGTTTGTGACGATGTTTGTTGCGATTCTTTTCCGAAACAGAACGTTGTATGGGTGAAGTTATTTGATCATAGGTTGTGGGTACGATATGACTGTGTTCGGAGCATCGCTGGGGACTGGCATAGTTACGGGGCGATTGTCGCGAATGTTGTTTGGCATGCGACAATGTATGGGTATCCCATAAATCACTTTGGGACACAACGAAATTCGATTTCAAAGCTGAGCCCATGCTGACACGACGGGAGTCGGATGCTACGGGAGCTGCAATTGAAGAAGAGAGTGGTTATTTTCGATACTTTTTTCTATGTTCATCCCATTGGGTTTAAACTAGTTTATTCACTGGTAAGTGATCATGTTTTTATGATAAATAGGTAATCAGAACCCAAATTTGCTCGATGTTACTCGGGATTGAAAAATACTCGAAATATACTGGAATGCTTGAGAGAGTTCTCCTCAAAAACCGGATATTTCTGTACAATTTTGAACTGTTACTTAAGCTGAAAAAATTGGAAATCAAACTTTACTTTTTTCGAGCACAGATATGTCTCTAACATATGTTAAAGAATTGGAAGAATTGCTTTTCCTGGTATCTTGCAGCCACGTTGTGTCTTTTTTTGGAATATTAAGATCCCCATTTACATATTTCCTGATCGTAATTCTCTATCTAGTACTATATTCCATGGATCGTGAAATTATGTACTCTGTCGCTGATCTTAGTTCAATGAATTCAAATTAACCATATGCAACTAGTTCATAGGTTCTTTTCAGTGAACCATTCACTTGAACTAGTCTTAACCAAGTGGGTGATACTTACTTTTGACGCTGTTATTGTTTTTGCCATGACTGCCGCCGCCGCCGCTATGTGGACAGGTATTATTCAATTCTGTCTGAGATGCTGAAACATTAGTCGAAGAATTTCGATGATTGTTGTTCGAATATTTCGCTCGAGATGTGGGAGTCTGGGTGCCATTGTCATAATGCTATCAAAAAAAAAAAAAAGAAACAAATGAGAACTATTAAATTGAATTTAAAAATCTTCCTCCCACCCTTGATGAAGTGGATTGACGCCTCTCCCGCAATGTTGAATCCTCACGATGAACATTATTACATTCCTGGCGTTTTAGACTAGACATGGACCCAATACTGACATCGGTTTGAGCCGAAACCGAATTACGTTTATCAACATGACGACGTGTGGCATCGTTACATTGTTTCGCCTGTTGTTGTTGTAGCTGTTGTTGCTGAAATTGTGCCTGTTGCTGAAGTTGTTGCTGTAGCTGTTGTTGTATGGGTTGCTGCATAACATGATGGGTTTTTGTCGGTAGCGGTGGCTGCTGTGGGGGTTGATATGGCGTCTGCGGTTGACTATCCTGGCGCTTGACATTCTTTTTGCTGGGAGAAAAATTTAAGTTGGTAACATGAAATTTGAATGAAATGCGAAATACATACGGTGGTAATGATGGTGCCACGGTGGTGGACTGTACCGACATCAAGGAATTATCCATTTCGACATGTGTCGAGGTGACACTATCCACTGATGTTAGCTCGGTAATTTCTGAAAGAGAAAAATGCGAAGAATTCAATGAAAGCTTGAACTAACATTTGCATAGCTCGATCATTCATGTAGGCCAGGTAACATTTTTCCGAAAGCTCTGATAACCGATTTTTTTGGTCGAGATTGTTTACTGTTTCTCCAGAAAAGTTTCCGAGTATTCTGCACACATGATTTCTTTTGTTTCACTTTTATGATTTTACCGACATTATTCACCGGAATTGTTTTAAATTTCGTATTTGAAGTTCCAAATGGGTACTACAGTCTATGACAGAAAATTGCCTTTGCTGGTCCAGGTTTTCGTATAGAACCCATATATCGATACCTCTCTATATTCGATATTTTTATGAGTTTAGCCACAATGTTCACCGGAATCATTTAAAATTTCGTAATAATAGTTCGTAATGGGTACTACAGTCTGTAACACAAAATATTTCCTATGCAGGTCCAGGTCTTCATATAGCCTCCATATATCGGTACATCCCTATATTGGGGTTTTTGATGATTTCAACGACAATATAGACCGGAATCGTTTCGAATCTCGTATTGGAAGATGTTAAAGGGTGCATCAACCTATGACAAAAAATTATTTACGCTGGTCAGCGAATTCGTACTGCCCCTATACAACGGTACCTCCAAATATTCCTTTTTTATGGTATTAGAGACATTATAGAAAGGAATTGTTTCAACTTTCGTATTTGTAGTTCGTTCAACCTATGACAGAAAATTGTATATGCAGGTCGACGTCTTCGTATACCTCACATATAACGGTACCTCCCTTTATTCGGTATTTTGAATTGTTTTAAATTTCGTATTTTAAGGTCCCAATCGGTACAAAAGCTTACTCTCCCACAAGATGTGACTGAGTAGACTTTGATGAAAGTAAAAGGATACAGCTTTCGTCCCAATTTGATACAATGTCAGGCTGATAATATTTCCAAGCCTATTACAAGATTCCCCACGTTGGGCGCCATTTTTTTGTGTTCGTGGGAAAAACGCTACAAGGGCAGCACTAATACTTGCTCTTGAAGGCAATTCCCATGTACGTCGTCTCTCCTTTTTTTCTATGCTGGTAATGCCATAACATTGATTCTGCCTATGATCGATGTTCTCTTGGTCTCAGAGAAAGAGAGAGAGAAAGTGAAACTATAGAGATACCATTGTGCGTTTGATTTGAAGCCAATACCGAAGAACACAACAACTTGCCGTTGTTGCGTCATCCCAGTGATAACAGGTTAGGTTAAGTCATATTATCACAAGTATTCCTTAAGAAATATTTTTATAATAATTTTCTGCCTCTCAACCAAGAACGACACGTTGTCTTTATGCAACTATAGGTCCTCGTTTTTAGTGGACAAAATTAGAAAAATCAAGTTAAAAATTCTCTCAATACATACCCGTTGTGCTTGGCATATCTCGCCTAACAGGTGGTGCCGACAGACGAGCCGTATCATTGATTCCACCACCACCAGTATTGCTGCCCAAAATCGGTTCCGTATCACCGCCAACACTGCCACCGCCACCAGAGCCACAGGTGACACCATCTATCCATTTGCGGGCCTCTGGTCCCAGTTTCTTTATCAAAGCCTGCAGTTCATTCTCCTTTTCCATCAGAGCTTTGCGGAAACGACAATTTGTGTTCTTAACTTCACGCAAACGTTGTTCCAACTCACAGACCGAGGAGTCACGGCGATTCTTCGACATTGGCCTGAGAGTGGCCCGGACACGTTTATCGACCACACCTTGGGGATTACGTTTCAATTCCACCAACTAGACAAGAGATGGTGGTGTATAAAAGAGGATGAATTATTTGAGGTTATATTCTTTAAAAATCTCTTTTTTTTGTTGTTCTATTGTATGTTTATGTGTGTATTGTTATTTAAGATAGTGGTGGGTTGCATGAATAGTTGCTTTTTCTATTTATAACAAAATATTACTAAAAAAAAACGAAAATTGGTTAGTACTTTTTTCATACAGCACAGCAAAGCTATTTTTTGGGTTATTTTTCGGGTTAGTACACATAACAAAGTACAAGGACATATAAAAATGGCAATCAAGCATTTCTTGTCATTGAATTAGAAGTAGAACGGCTTTGAATTCGGCTGGACACCTTCTAAAAAATAATCACTGATAAAAAAAAATGATACTAGAAGATCCTCGCAGTTTCTGGAATAGAGCGTTAATTTCTTACTTCATGGAGTGGACCAACATTATCCATTTTCGCACCTGGCCTAGCACTGATGCAAATATTAGGATTCGTAAAGTTGGACCAAAATCACAATATTATTTCCCTTTCTGTGCAGTAAAAGATTTTTTTTTTTGGAAAATTACGACCTTTTGTGAGCCCCCGTAAACTGGTACCTTCCTATTTTCGGTATTTTGGTGATTTTAGCAGTATTATTCACCGGAATTGTTTCAAATTTAGTATTTGAGGTTCGATATGGATACTACAGCCAGGTTTTCGTATAGTCCCCATATAACAGTTTTCATTTAAGTGGTAGTTTTCGTAATTTTTTCCTTCCAAATGGTGGAGGGTATTAAAAGTTTGGCCGTGCCGAACTTACCTGGTTTTTACTTTTTTTTTTGTTCGCCCAAAGTTTCCAATTTTTTCGGTCAATCCCGAAAATATTAGACTTTTTCCGACAATTTTCCGAAATTCGAAAAAATTAGTTAAATTTTTTTTCGATTTTAGAATTAAACTATCGAAAATATTAATATTTTTCTCAGAATTTTGAGAATTTTAGATCCAACATCCGACACACTTCCGAATGTCTTATCAAACATCCTATTTTTCTGAGATTTTCGAATGAATTAATCGCATTTTTCCCATGTTTCGGATAAAACTATAGAACAAATTCAAATTTTTTTTCTAAATTTCGTATCAAATATACAAACATTTTCCCAATTTTCCTTTTTTCTTTTGCGAATTCTAATCGAATTCATCACAAAACTCTATATTCTTTTCGATTTTTTTTTTCAAAACACGTGGGCAATTGTAAACAATTATGCTCCGTGTTCGTTCGACATCAGTATAAGAAATTTGTGCAGAGTTTTTTCCGAATTTGGAAAAATAATGTTGCCTGGGGAGATTCTAAAACAGTGTGAATGAGAGGAGCTCATTTTTATAATCTCAGAAATTTAATTTTTTTTTGTACTTTTTTCTCTATTTTCGTAAGAAAGATAAAAAAATGTTTCTTACCCTCCGGTAAGATGTAACTGAGAAGATTTTTCATTTTAGAATAATTTTAGAAGATGCCCCACGTTGGGCGCCATATTTTCGGTACGATTATATGAGCTGCTAACATTGTATGTTTACGGATAAGTGAACATATTTTTATAATAAGGAATCGATAAGAATTATTGTGTGTCTGCGATTTGGTTAAGTTAGATTGGTTTATGAAAAAATATTTATAAATAAAAAAATATAAAATAGAACCTAAGCCCGAACAATGCAACCATTTTCCCTTCCAAACAGCAAGAGAAATTATACGTTGTCAGTACACGTAATTTATCCGATCTTTTTTTTTTTTGTCTATTCTCCTCATGATCATCCTTGCCTTAAGCAGCATTCTCTCGTCACGCGAATTGTGACGCCGAGCGATCCAGCCGAACATAGCCATTTTACAATATTTGCAAATGTATATACATACATACATACATATTTTATATTCACATACCGTAAATATTTCAAATGCTATTGTAATTATTAAAATGTAAGTAAATATTGGAAATTATATTGTTATTAAAAGTTTAAAAAAATATATGTATATTCCTTCTCATCGATGTTGTTTTTAACTATTCATGCAAATGTATTGTATATATCATCATCGGGGGGTATATGAGCGATTGCATTGGGATTAGTCATAAGTACACATATAGTCGGGGATGGGACCTAGCAACGCTTCTATGCTACGCTAGAGAAAATTGGGCAATATTTGACAGGGATCCTTTAAAAAATCCACGGCTTCGGGGCTTAAAAGTGCCTTCGAAAATCCTTTAAAAAAATCCACACCTTTGGGGCTTGAAATTGTCCTCGAAAATCATTTAAAAAATCGATGTCTTTCGGGCTTGAAAGTGCCTTTGAAAATCCTTTAAAAAAGCCTTCAAAAGTCCTTTAAAAAATTCCCGCTGTTGGGGCTTGAAATTGCCCTCGAAAATCATTTAAAAAATCGATGTCTTGGGGCTTAAAAGTGCCTTCGAAAATCCTTTAAAAAATCCACGCCTTTCGGGCTTAAAATTGCCCTCGAAAATCATTTAAAAAATCGATGTCTTTCGGGCTTGAAAGTGCCTTCGAAAATCCTTTAAAAAATCCTTGCCTTTGGGACTTGAAAGAGCCTTCAAAAGTCCTTTAAAAAATTCCCGCTGTTGGGACTTGAAATTGCCCTCGAAAATACTTTAAAAAATCCACGTCTTGGGGAATGAAAGTGACTTGAAAATCCTTAAAAAAAATACAGGTCTTGCGGTTTAAAAGTACCCTCGAAAATCCTTTAAAAAATCCAGGTCTTGCGGCTTAAAAGTACCCTCGAAAATCCTTTAAAAAATTCACGTCTTGGGCATGAAAGTGCCCTCGAAAATCCTTTAAAAATTCCACGTCTTGTGGCTTGAAATTGCCCTCGAAAATCCTTTAAAAATTCCACGTCTTGTGGCTTGAAATTGCCCTCGAAAATCCTTTAAAAATTCCACGTCTTGTGGCTTGAAATTGCCCTCGAAAATCCTTTAAAAATTCCACGTCTTGTGGCTTGAAATTGCCCTCGAAAATCCTTTAAAAATTCCACGTCTTGTGGCTTGAAATTGCCCTCGAAAATCCTTTAAAAATTCCACGTCTTGTGGCTTGAAATTGCCCTCGAAAATCCTTTAAAAATTCCACGTCTTGTGGCTTGAAATTGCCCTCGAAAATCCTTTAAAAATTCCACGTCTTGTGGCTTGAAATTGCCCTCGAAAATCCTTTAAAAATTCCACGTCTTGTGGCTTGAAATTGCCCTCGAAAATCCTTTAAAAATTCCACGTCTTGTGGCTTGAAATTGCCCTCGAAAATCCTTTAAAAATTCCACGTCTTGTGGCTTGAAATTGCCCTCGAAAATCCTTTAAAAATTCCACGTCTTGTGGCTTGAAATTGCCCTCGAAAATCCTTTAAAAATTCCACGTCTTGTGGCTTGAAATTGCCCTCGAAAATCCTTTAAAAATTCCACGTCTTGTGGCTTGAAATTGCCCTCGAAAATCCTTTAAAAATTCCACGTCTTGTGGCTTGAAATTGCCCTCGAAAATCCTTTAAAAATTCCACGTCTTGTGGCTTGAAATTGCCCTCGAAAATCCTTTAAAAATTCCACGTCTTGTGGCTTGAAATTGCCCTCGAAAATCCTTTAAAAATTCCACGTCTTGTGGCTTGAAATTGCCCTCGAAAATCCTTTAAAAATTCCACGTCTTGTGGCTTGAAATTGCCCTCGAAAATCCTTTAAAAATTCCACGTCTTGTGGCTTGAAATTGCCCTCGAAAATCCTTTAAAAATTCCACGTCTTGTGGCTTGAAATTGCCCTCGAAAATCCTTTAAAAATTCCACGTCTTGTGGCTTGAAATTGCCCTCGAAAATCCTTTAAAAATTCCACGTCTTGTGGCTTGAAATTGCCCTTGAAAATCCTTTAAAAATTCCACGTCTTGTGGCTTGAAATTGCCCTTGAAAATCCTTTAAAAATTCCACGTCTTGTGGCTTGAAATTGCCCTCGAAAATCCTTTAAAAATTCCACGTCTTGTGGCTTGAAATTGCCCTCGAAAATCCTTTAAAAATTCCACGTCTTGTGGCTTGAAATTGCCCTCGAAAATCCTTTAAAAATTCCACGTCTTGTGGCTTGAAATTGCCCTCGAAAATCCTTTAAAAATTCCACGTCTTGTGGCTTGAAATTGCCCTCGAAAATCCTTTAAAAATTCCACGTCTTGTGGCTTGAAATTGCCCTCGAAAATCCTTTAAAAATTCCACGTCTTGTGGCTTGAAATTGCCCTCGAAAATCCTTTAAAAATTCCACGTCTTGTGGCTTGAAATTGCCCTCGAAAATCCTTTAAAAATTCCACGTGTTGTGGCTTGAAATTGCCCTCGAAAATCCTTTAAAAATTCCACGTCTTGTGGCTTGAAATTGCCCTCGAAAATCCTTTAAAAATTCCACGTCTTGTGGCTTGAAATTGCCCTCGAAAATCCTTTAAAAATTCCACGTCTTGTGGCTTGAAATTGCCCTCGAAAATCCTTTAAAAATTCCACGTCTTGTGGCTTGAAATTGCCCTCGAAAATCCTTTAAAAATTCCACGTCTTGTGGCTTGAAATTGCCCTCGAAAATCCTTTAAAAATTCCACGTCTTGTGGCTTGAAATTGCCCTCGAAAATCCTTTAAAAATTCCACGTCTTGTGGCTTGAAATTGCCCTCGAAAATCCTTTAAAAATTCCACGTCTTGTGGCTTGAAATTGCCCTCGAAAATCCTTTAAAAATTCCACGTCTTGTGGCTTGAAATTGCCCTCGAAAATCCTTTAAAAATTCCACGTCTTGTGGCTTGAAATTGCCCTCGAAAATCCTTTAAAAATTCCACGTCTTGTGGCTTGAAATTGCCCTCGAAAATCCTTTAAAAATTCCACGTCTTGTGGCTTGAAATTGCCCTCGAAAATCCTTTAAAAATTCCACGTCTTGTGGCTTGAAATTGCCCTCGAAAATCCTTTAAAAATTCCACGTCTTGTGGCTTGAAATTGCCCTCGAAAATCCTTTAAAAATTCCACGTCTTGTGGCTTGAAATTGCCCTCGAAAATCCTTTAAAAAATCCACGCATTGTGGCTTTAAAGTGCCCTCGAAAATTCTTTAAGAAATTTACGTCTTGGGGCTTAACATTTCCCTCGAAATGGCTTGAAATTGCCCTCGAAAATCCTTTAAAAATTCCACGTCTTGTGGCTTGAAATTGCCATCGAAAATCCTTTAAAAAATCCCCGCCTTTGGGACTTGTAAGTGCACTTGAATATCCTTTAAAAATCGACGTCTGGGGGCTTGAAAACTTTCTTCCACGTCTTGTGGCTTTATATTGCCGTCGAAAGCTCCTTGAAAAATATACGTCTTGTGGCTTGATATTGCCCTCGAAAGCTCCTTGAAAAATATACGTCTTGTGGCTTGAAATTGTCCTCGAAAGTCCTTTAAAAAATCTACGTCTTGTGGCTTGAAATTGCCCTCGAAAATCCTTTAAAAAATCCACGCCTTCTGGGCTTAAAAGTGCCTTCGAAAATCCTTTTAGAAATCCACGCCTTCTGGGCTTAAAAGTGCCTTCGAAAATCCTTTTAGAAATCCACGCCTTCTGGGCTTAAAAGTGCCTTCGAAAATCCTTTTAAAAAATCCACGTCTTGGGGCTTTAAAGTGCCCTTGAAAATCCTTTAAAAAATCCAGGTCTTGGGGCTTAAAAGCACCCTCGAAAATCCTTTAAAAAATCTATGTCTTGGGGCATGAAAGTGCCCTCGAAAATCCTTTAAAAAATCCAGGTCTCGGGGCTTAAAAGTACCCTCGAAAATCCTTTAAAAAATCCACGCCTTTGGGCTTGAAAGTGCCGAAAATCCTTTAAAAACCATCGCCTTTGGGGCTTGAAATTGCCCTCGAAAATTATGGCCTCAAAAATCCTTTAACAAAACAGGTCTCTCTCTCCACATTTGGGACTTAAAAGTGCCTTCAAAAATACTTTAAAAAACACGTCTTGGTTTCAAAATCTGATATTGTCTTGAAATTATCTAAAATCAACGCCTTTGACTCTGATATTGCCTTAAAATTGTCTAAAATAACCCTTAAAAATAAAAATGTTTTTAAACTGTTTCTAGAAAAAATAAATCAAAAACAGCTAATTGAGTGGCGCAGAAAAAAGGAGAGAGATGTAACTGATTAAGAGAAAACATTTATGCGGCAGACTCTCACTGACAAATATTCTCTTTCAAAGCGCTCTCTTCTGGAAAACTTCTATGTTAACAGACGACTTCCAGTAACTATTTGCAAAAATTGCTACAAATTTTGGAATATTATGTAACTACAGACTAATCCCAATGCATGCATGATCATTTAAATATTTTGCTAAATTTTCTTCTCAACTAGTTTCAAAGGAAAAAAATGCATTCGTATTTAAATCACTAGATAAGCCACGCACGTTTCTTTTCGTCATCATCATCACATCATTCCAATCCAAATCAAAGAAATAATGAAAAAAATACGAAATCAAAATATTGTTATGCATAAATACAAGGACAAAAACTACAAAACTTCCTTACTACCAGTCTTACTTTCGGTACGAACACCAAACACAAAGTGGCTGTCGTACAAAAAATTATAAAAAATGAGAGTAAGACAAAAACTAAATCTTTGCGATCCGACAAGACCAGCGAGATGGCGGCCCCAGCTATGCACGTGATGAACACATTGTAGACGGAGAAGCCAATGTGTTTGGAGTCATTGAGGGCTGGTATGGAAACGTGACGCGTTTCCCAGGCCAAAAAGGCGCCAAAGACCTGAAGGAAATTACAACATTAATCGGAATTTTGAAATATTTTTATTTTCCTGCCCCAAAAACTTACCAGTAACAAGCCTTTGTAGGCATAAATAATGCTAACGAATATTGTCATGTGTTCCGATTGGCAATATTCGTTTTCTGGTATTACCAAGACATCGTCCATGTGCTCGTGATGCTGTAATGGATTATATTACTTTGATTTCAAAATATTCCCTTTTTAAGAGTGATCCACTTACCCTTGGTTCCAATTGCTTTGTGTCACGATAAAATGGATCCGCTATTTGCCATGTCGTTATTATGGCAATATCAATAAACAACAAAATTCCCACAACCATAAACAGCTGATAGTCCTTAATCACCTTCTTGTTCAATTTCAAATCCGTAAATATTGAATGAACACGCCATGTCTTCGAGAACATGGCACCAAATGCCAAACTAAACCCGGCCATCAAAATCCATGCCCTGGCCGTACAAATATAGGGAAAGGCGGCCACACTGCTCAATGTTGTGTCCAGACCCAAAAATATAACACTCATATAGGTCAGCAGGCAGCCGACAATTATTAAATTATTCAAGTGGGGACTTGACATTTTGATGTATCTGAAAAGGGAGGGGGAGAAATATTGAAAATTGCCGCAGGTAAAAATCAAATGAAATTCCCTTACCTTTGATTTCTGTATTTTATGTTGAAGGCCAGAAAGACACAGGCAATAATCATTCCAACAACCGAGGCACTGGCCGATATAATATATATGGTGAGATTCACTTGACTGTGTTCGATATAGATCAAAGTGCGATCCTTGGGCGGGGTTTTGCCAACCTGAATTGAAAAAATAATAAAAATAAATGGAAACCAAAGCAAAAGTTTTCAAAGGGTTATTATTTTCCAGGACCATCAGATCAACAATCGTAAAAATTCTTATGAATATTTTCCGAGGATTCTAAGACCAAGAATTGTGGATTTTTAAGGAATATTTTTTAAAGAACCATTAGAACCATTGTGGATTTTAAGGAATATTTTTTTTTCAAGAACCATCAGACCAATAATTATTTTAAAATATTTTCTTATAGTTCAACAGATCGTGGGGTTTTTTTAAGAATATTTTTTCAAGGACTAATCGAGGATATAATTTTAAGGATAATGATGCCAACAATAATGGATTTTTTAAGAATATTTTTTCTCAAAGACCAATCGAGGATTTATTTTTGGGTTTATTTTTTCAACGATAATGATGCCAATATTCATAAAATTTTGAAAAATACATTTTCAAGGACGTCAAACCAAAAACCTTGGATCTTTTAAATTTTTTTTTCAGTTCCCAACAGACCAATATTCGTGTTTATTTAAGATTATTTTTAAAGAACTCTTCTACATTTATAGAAGTTTCAGGACCATCAGCAATCAATAATGGTGGAATTTTTATGAATATTTTCCAAGGACCAACAATTGTGGATTTTTAGACAGACCTGTAATTCTGGATTTCTTTCGGAATATTTTTTTAAGGACTAATCGAGGATTTTTATACCCTCAGCCATATGGCTGGAGAGGGCAAAAAGGGTGAGATGAAAAAACTGCAACCAATTTCAGACGGCTGTCATTTCTAAGACACTTGTCCGACAGCTGTTAAAATTATTCCAGTGACAGCTCATTATATTGTTTCATTGGCCGTTTGAAGGCCATAATTCGCGCCAAAGGTGACCAAGTCGAAAAAATCCAAACTTATTCTAAAATTTGATGCTATTTCCGATATGGCCTTCAAACGGCCAATGAAACAATATAATGAGCATCAAATCGGAAATAGCATCAAATTTTAGAATAAGTTTAGATTTTTTCGAATTGGTCACCTTTGGCATCATTTAATAAAATTGAAAAAAAAGTAAAAATTATGGCGTTTAACTTTGTTGCAGTTCTTCTTTTTCTCACCCTGTATAGATGGTAGAGATCGGACTATTGCTACTGGTACCTCCCCCACAAAGGTCTTTGGGAGCAATAATCGTAGATTTATAAGAACATTTTTCAATGAGACCACAATAATCGTGGATTAATTAAAAAAAATTTTTTCAATCGTGGGTTTCCTAAATAATTATTTGTTTAAGGACCAATCGTGGGTTTTCTAAAAAAATATTTTTTCAAGGACCAATCGTGGATTTTCTAAAAAAATATTTTTTTAAGGACCAATCGTGGGTTTTCTAAAAAAATATTTTTACAAGGACCAATCGTGGGTTTTCTAAAAAAATATTTTTTCAAGGACCTATCGTGGGTTTTCTAAAAAAATATTTTTTCAAGGACCAATCGTGGGTTTTCTAAAAAAATATTTTTTCAAGGACCAATCGTGGGTTTTCTAAAAAAATATTTTTACAAGGACCAATCGTGGGTTTTCTAAAAAAATATTTTTTTCAAAAATAAGGAATAATCGTGCATTTTTTTAGTAAAATTTTCAAGGACCAATCGTCTATTTTTTAAGCCTAATTTTGCAAACCCTCCATACTCCAAAATTGAAAATTATAACTTACCCATTTCACAGGTTTTCCCAATGTTAAATCCAAATGATTCTGTTGTGAATGAAATTCACCTATCTTCTCTACCTGTCCCAATTGGAATTGATTGATCAAAATGTTGGCTTTGCGTTCATTGTTGTAAAAACGCACTGGACCCTGGAAAGATAACACAGCGTCTTATTTTCAAATATAAACAATTGAAACTCAAATCTTCATACCGTTACACCCTCAAAGGAGGTATTGCGCAAGGCCTCCAGGAAAACATTTTCCCACTCCTTGCCGCGATAATCGAAATGTGTTAGGAAATCTTCGCGTTTCTGGGCCACATATTGAATGGCCAATGCGGCGGCCCAAATTCCATCGTAGGTATAGCCATGGAAACGGGAATATTCATTGCCGCGTAAGCTGTCGTACTCCGAGAGATATTCATCGGCGGTCTGGAAAATGAAGGAATTTTTAAAAAATTTCTAGAAAAATCTTCTTTTTAAGACCTACAATGCCTGCAATTGTTATATCTCCACTTGTGGACAAGGGCAACAAATCCACCATCATTGTGCCCTCCACGGCCTGTATCAATTCCTCCACCGAGCAGTCCATGTCAATGGTGGTATTCCACCATTCCGTGGAGTATGTGGCCATTATCAACCACTGATACGATCTGCCATACATATCAAGTCTGAAAATAAACCAAAATTAGAATTGTTCGTTTTTTTACTTCAATTACTTACTTGTAAGCCTCACAGAAGACCTTGCGGGCAAAATGCTCATTGAAATTACCCAAAATAATACGAACATCCTTTTCCCGTAACTTCTTTAGTGATTCGCTCACATCATTGACAAAACTCTGCGTTTCAACCACCTCCAATTCCATGGAATCTAAATCGGCTACCATGTGATTGTGAGGCAACGAATAGCGTGGCTCATTCTGATACAATGTGCCCACACGCGTCCAATTGAACTCCTTGAGCAGCGCTAAACGTGGTGCATTGAATGCATTCTCGGAGGGTACCACCCGAAAGAAGTTGGGAAAAGCATCTTTGGTAAACATGGGATGGGTGTCGGCATACGAGAGCTGTGTCAAATGCCAATGTTTACTGGCCTTGGCAATGGGATCCGTGACATGAGTACAAGCAGCCCCAAACAGCATTAATTTATTCGGCCCCGAATGCATCATGTCGAAAAATGATTTGACACCAACGGCAGCATTGCACTTGAAGAGAGTGGGAGAGAGAGAAAGAATTAAATATTTGGTGAGTCCAATTACCGTTTTGTTATGGTTACGGCAGAGAGAGAGACAAAGAATTAAATATTTGGTGAGTACGATAACCGTTTTGTTATGATTACGACAGAAAACCAAAATTAAACAGATATCTACGGTAAGGGTTATGGCTATGGCGTTATGGAATCTACGGTAACGGTTACGGCTATGGCATTATGGTGTGTCACAAATTGGTGTGAACAGCTGTTTTTATATGGTTATGCTAATAGGTGTGTCTGGTTACTTTTCCAGCAGGAATTGTCCAGCAACTTCTTTCTGAGAGAGTAAGGTAGTTTTATTCTCTTTTGCAAGGAAAATGCGAAAAGTAAACAGACGGTATTCCTGCAAAAGCTTGCAACTAATCAGCTGATTTTTCAAAACAAAGCAATTTGTCCCCCATAAGGAGAATTAAAACAAAGGAAGCAATACTAATTTTACAAGTTTTTTAAATAAAAATGTTGGAAATAGTCTTTTATTTTCTTATTACATATTAACATTTACGTTTTTCACATTTTGTAAAGTTGTCCTCCAAAAACTATTAGTCTTGCTAATTCCAAAAAAATATTTTCAAATTGAAAGCACAAAAATAAATAAACAAACAATAGAAAACATCTGATTGAATGTCGATGAACGAGAAGAAGAAGAGTTGCAAGTGATTGCAAGAAGAAATTTGTCCAGCAAGAATTTGCAAACTCTCACTGAAAGAACTGTCAAAATTTCTCTCTCCAACCGCTCTCTTTTGCAGAACTTTCGGGTTAACAGACGACTTCCAGTAAAAATTTGTAACAATTGTTACAAATTTTAGGGTAACCAGACACACCTAATGACAAGTCTAATTTAAAAAAAATCAGCTGTTTTGAGAACAATGTGGATATGTTTAAAGTATTTAGGCCATAATCTAATACTTCGTCCGATAATAGGCATTCAACATTTCATTTCGCCATTAAATAACTATTTTCCGGATAAAAATTGAAAAATACTGAATGTTTTTCAATAATTTTTTTCATAATAGACTCTACAAAGTATATATATTCTGGAACAGCGTAAAATTCTAAGACGATCTAGCGATGTCCGTCTGTTGTAATCGCGCTATCTTTCGAACGAATTGAGATAGAAGGCTAAAATTTTGCATACATGCATAGTTTACCAGTAGGCAGGTTAAGTTCGTAAGTGGGCCATGCCGGTCCACGTTTTCGTGTAGCCCCCATATAACGGTACCTCCCGATATTCGGTATTTTGATGATTTTCGTGGCATAATTCACCGGAATTGTTTCGAATTTGGAATTTGATGTTCGTAATGGATGCTACAGCCTATGACAGAAAATTGTCTATGCAGGTCCACGTCTTCGTGTAGCCCCCATATAACGATACCTCCCGATATTCGGTATTTTGATGATTTTAGCGACATTATTTACCGGAATTGTTTCAAATTTGGTATTTGATGTTCGTAATGGATGCTAAAGCCTATGATAGGAGATTGTCTGTTCATGTCCACCTCCCGATATTCGGTATTTCGATGATTTTAGCGACATTATTCACCGGAATTATTACAAGTTACAGTTACAGAATTTTTATCGGATTTTATTGTTTTTCAGAATTGCCAAATTCGTTCCAAATGCTGGAGTTTTTTTTTTTTAATTTAACTTACCTCTGTATCATTCCACCACATGTGCAGGCGATAGTTGGTCAATATCCTGGGATGTTCATTGACATGTGACAATGCCAACTTGACACTGGGCATTACACCGCGCCCAGTATCGGAGTTTTCAACCCCATCGCCATAGGGAAAAAATCCCGCAATATAGACATCAGATCTTTTGGCTGTTCTGGCGTACGTGGTCGTCGTAAATGTCAAGAGTAAGGTAAGGGGAATTATGAATGGCGCCAACTGCATTTTGATGGCTTGTGATTGGACGCGCACGTATTCTGAAATTGGAAATTAAAAAAATAACCATTTTTTATAAAAAGGAAGAAAAAAGGACTGAATGATAACCATTTCCAGTAACCAAAAAGGAGGGGTAACCTGTCCTCTCTTCCACAATTTTTTTTGAAAAATTTGGAGATTAAAATTTCCAACTCCACTATTCAATAGCCTCTTCCACATTTTTATACCCTCCCCTCAGACCCCAACATTATCTTGATCAGGGTAAAATTCTAAGTCGATTTAGTGATGTCCATCTGTCTGTGTGTGTCTGTCTGTTGTAATAACTTAAGAACGAATTGAGATAGAGGGCTGAAATTTGACATACATGTTTATTTTGTAAGTCGGCAGGTTAAATTCGTAAATGGTCCATATAGGTCCCCGTCTTCATAAATCCCCCATATAACGGTACCTCCCAATATTCGGTATTCTAATGATTTTAGCGATATTTTTACCGGAATCATTTAAAATTTCGTATTTTTAGTTCATAATAGGTGCTACAGCCTATGACAAAAAATTGCGAATGCAGGCCCAACTCTTCGTATAGCCCCCATATAAGGATACCTCCCGATATTCGGTATGTTGATGATTTTAACGACATTATTCACCGGAATTGTTTCAAATTCGGTATTTGTAATTGGTACTAAAAAAATACTTGTGTAGGAACACGTCTTCGTATAGCCTCCATATAAGGGATCTCATTTGAGAGGTAATTATTTAGAATTTTTTTTTTCGACATTTTTCATGTTCCTTCAAAATGGTGGAGGATATTTTGAAGGAACTTGAAAAAATTTTACTTTTATTTTTTATTTCTGGAATTCGGATGTGCCAATCTATTACGATCGAACGAAAAAGTTTCTAGTTCCGTGGACTCCGATTGGTATGAGACATATACAATTTATGAAGTCACTCATACGTTCAGGAAGTATACTGAACTATGAACTACGCCTTTTTATACCCCAGCCATATGGCTACAGAGGATAATTGATACGGCCAAAACGTGCCTTATCGAAATAGGGTTTGGGCCCTAGGTCTCTTTGGTCCAAATCCGTTTCAGGACATTTGGAGTCGATCTAGTCCGCCCGAAGTACTGGAACGATATAATCCACCTTCATAGCAGTTCTTGTGTTGGTAAAAATAATGGGATTTGTTAAATATGAAGAGAATCGGATGCTTATTTCGAATTTTATGATCGTTTGCCTAAGGCTTTAATACACCCTCCAGAATATTTTTGCGATAATATTCGTCATTTATTCTGATGCCACGGTCGATTAATACGAGCGACCATCGGCTGTTATGGCGGCCATCACACCATCACCATGGCCGGCGCTTGAGTTCTGGTGGCCAACGGAAGGTGCACATTTTCAGCTGACCTCGTTGCTGGTCAACAAATGTTTTATCATCGGAGAAAACCAAATTTGGCAGTTCACCACTTTTTCGGCCAAGCGAAGCAACTCTTTAGCTCTTTTGAGTCTATTTTCTTTCTGTTGCGGTGTAAATTCTTACACTTTTTGGAATTTTAAAGGCTTTACCCCGAGCTCATTTTTAAATATTTGCCGAATGGAATATTGCGATATGTTAAGCTCGCGGGCCATTTTTCGGCCACTGCGACGCGTGTTTCGATCAAGTCACTTCTTTACTTTTCGGACCATATCTGCTTCTGGTTTTTCAGCCAAATATAAAGAAATCACACTATCACGCTTGAATTCCATCACGAATAACTTTTTTTCCGGAAAATTCTCACCAAAATGCTTTTGTACGCTTGTGAAAAATATAATGAGCTGTCACTGGAATAATTTAAACAGCTGTCGGACGAGTGGCTTAGAAATGACAGCAGTCTGAAGTTGGTTGCAGTTTTCATCTCACTGCAAATATATCCTTTTAAAGTTAAGGATAACCCTTCAAAAAGTTGTAACGTAAACATAGCTTTACTGATGTATGAAATGTTTAATTATGTTTACAATTTTCCTTATTTGAGTAAGTTGAAAATTTAAATAAATTAAATTTTTTTAAATCAATTTAAAAAATTTCTAAAAATTTCCATTCTTTTCTGATATAAAAATAATGTAACACTGGCATCAGGTAAATCTGAAATGGCAGAATATATGAAGGTCTGTACCTGCTTCAAGGCTGATTTTACACTTTTATATATTAGACACTATTATTTTAAATACTCTATTAGTTACTGAAAGAAGAGCTACACCCACAATAAAACAGCTACTTAAAAAATGTTTTGCATTAATTTTTAATTTTGGTTTTCATTAACTTCTTAAATAAACTTTTAGTAAAAAGCCACAGCTTTCAAAACACAATTACTGTTTAAAATATTTCGAAGTTGATCTCAATAAGTCCTTTTTCAAAATTTCATTATCTTTTTATTCACCTTTAAATATTTCGTAAAGACATTTTTAACTATTTCTTATGTTGTTTTCTTAATTATTTTTCACATTAAATTTTAAGACATTAACTGAGAAATTTTCTACCAAAGGAATGTAAGTGAAAATTGTGTATCTCAGTAAAATGACATTTTAGTGACACATCCTTGTAAGGATAGGCTCTGGGCATGCGCTATTTTTTGACACACCAAAATGGTTTATTTATTTACAAAAATAGATGTAAACATTTCAACAGGTTTGTTTGTAAACAAACTGTGAAGAGCGGTTGTTTTTGGAAGATTTTGTTTTGATTCTCAATTCTCAACATTTGCTGTTTTGTTTTGATGCCTGCAAACGTAAACAAATAAAGTTGACAACAACGTTAAGTACTTTTTTGCCTTGAATGAATGGAGGTCAAAAATGGAAATTTGTCATTGACCCCAAAAGAGGGAATGGTAAAATGATTCGTTTCGTTGTGAATACAACAACACAAAAGGGAAAGGGAATGGAAAAGGGATTAAGAAGGGACATGTAACGTATATTAAATGGAAATGGTAGGATTATTGGGTCTTTAAATCGGAAAAAGTAAATATATTTAACCACAATATTATAGTCGTTAAAAAAAACAATCTTTAAATAAAATAGACGTTATAAATTAATTTAATAAACCAGTAAGGAAAAGTCAAAAGTCAAAAAAGTTATTATTGTTATTATTATTATTATTATTATTATTATTATTATTATTATTATTATTATTATTATTATTATTATTATTATTATTATTATTATTATTATTATTATTATTATTATTATTATTATTATTATTATTATTATTATTATTATTATTTTTATTATTATTATTATTATTATTATTATTATTATTATTATTATGAATATGATTATTATTATTATTATTATTATTATTATTATTATTATTATTATTATTATTATTATTATTATTATTATTATTATTATTATTATTATTATTATTGTTATTATTATTATTATTATTATTATTATTATTATTATTATTATTTTTATTATTATTATATTATTATTATTATTATTATTATTATTATTATTATTATTATTATTATTATTATTATTATTATTTTATTTTATTATTATTATTATTATTATTATTATTATTATTATTATTATTATTATTATTATTATTATTATATTATTATTATTATTATTATTATTATTATTATTATTATTATTATTATTATTATTATTATGAATATGATTATTATTATTATTATTATTATTATTATTATTATTATTATTATTATTATTATTTTATTATTATTATTATTATTATTATTATTATTATTATTATTATTATTATTATTATTATTATTATTATTATTATTATTATTATTATTATTGTCATTATTATTGTCATTATTATTTTCATTATTATTGTCATTATTATTTTCATTATTATTATTATTATTATTATTATTATTATTATTATTATTATTATTATTATTATTATTATTATTATTATTATTATTATTATTATTATTATTATTATTATTATTATTATTATGAATATGATTATGATTATGATTATGATTATTATTATTATTATTATTATTATTATTATTATTATTATTATTATTATTATTATTATTATTATTATTATTATTATTATTATTATTATTATTATTATTATTATTATTATTATTATTATTATTATTATTATTATTGTTATTATTATTATTATTGTTTTTATTATTATTATTATTATTATTATTATTATTATTATTATTATTATTATTATTATTATTATGATAGCATTATTTGACGAATGAAAATTTTCTAACTTTAACTGTCGATTTTCCTCGAAAAAAAATTAAAAACATATACCCTCGATAGCCCGATTGGCAAGAACCACCCCTTAATATGGTCAATACTTTTGATATTGGTATCTAACAACACCGCTTTAGAGGACAATATGGTTGTCTATGACAACCATGTTACAACAACAACAATTCATATTGGAACGGGGTGAAAACATAAATTGTATCGTACCTAGTGTTCGATGTAATTCTCAAGACCATGGAAGATTATGCTCCAAGCCGTTATAAAATATTGGAAAAAATCGGAGAAGGTGTCCATGGATGTGTGTTTAAAGCATTGGATTTGCATCGCAAGTGTCCGGTGGCAATTAAAAAAGTCGCTCTGAAAAATAAATTTGGCAATATATCCTTGAATACTTTAAGGGAAATAAAAACATTACAACTATCGAAAAGTGAATATGTAAGAGTGGTTGCAAGTATTGATTCAATGTTGAAATATGCTAATTGAGCCAAAATGGAAATTGTTTAAAATTTTTGATTGTAAATATGAAATGCATAGGCATAAATGCATTTCGAAAAACAACAGAAATAGTGACAGTTTTTTTAGGAATGGTGCTCAAAAAATGTCTCTGTTATCCACCCAATGAACGGAATTGCTTCTTTGTTTTAATTCGACGCAATTGAAAATTTTTGCCCTTCTAGATCATTAACATAATTGATGTGTTTCCCGATGTTATTGGTTTGTCGCTGGTCCTAGAATATATGCCCGAGACTCTATATGGCAAACTGAAAAATGAAGTCAGTCCCTTGAGTAGACAGCAGGTGCGAAAATTCTCTCTAATGATGCTAAAGGGCATTGAATATTTACACAAATTAGATATAATCCACAGAGTAAGTATTCGAATTCAAATATTCAAATATTTGACTCTTAATTATTTTTATAATCTATTTTGCCATAGGATATTAAACCAGCCAACCTTTTGATCAGCGAAAATGAAATCCTCAAAATAGCAGATTTCGGTTTGGCACGTCTGTACTTTCCCGAAGATGAGGGACGGCTGTATTCACCACAGGTTTCCACTCGATGGTATAGGGCTCCGGAAATACTGTGGGGTAGCCAAAAATATGGCCCTCCCGTAGATATGTGGGCATCTGGTTGTGTTATAGCCGAAATGCTGAGAGGCGTTCCATTGTTTGCGGTGTGTTGAATTTCTTTTGTGAAAATTAAAAAAAAAACAACATCAAACTTTGTGGTGAACTCTAAAGAAAAACATATTTTTTATGTTATAAATAAAATAAGATTAGAAATAAGAGACATATAAGGAATATATGTTTTTCTTCGAATGCACTTTCAAATCGTCATACAACAACCGGCCATAAATATATATGCCCAACTAATTAGGTTTTTGTTATTAGGGCACGACTGATATTGAACAGCTGGCTCTTGTGATACGCACTTTGGGTACACCCCGGCTAACCGAATGGCCAGAATTGACTTCTCTACCGGACTATAATAAAATAAGGTAATAAACGAATATAATTTTCATGGGAAGATAAATTAAATATTAATTACATTTTAGATTCCCAAATGCTGTAGGTATGCACTGGGATAATCTTTTTCCAAGCTGTACATATGCTGCTGAAATTAACTTGGTATCCAATCTTGTGGTTTATAATCCAAAAAATCGGCTAACGGCTGAAGAGGTAAATCAGCAAATTTTTAATAATATAATGATTGAATAATAAATAGCATTTATTTTTCAGGCCACAAAACATGAATACTTTCAAAGGTAGATAGAAACGAGTTCAATAAAATTTTATTATTTTACTATGGAAACAATGGTTATATTTAATAAAACATAAATAATTATTTATATAAAAAATATTTTGGCAAATTCATTCTTTAAAGAGTATAAAAATCCCAGCTAATTATTTTGTGGCAAACTTAGGCGTGTGTTCCAAGTTCTCTTACAGCCAGGACATGTTGATTTTTTGATGAGGTATTTTCTAATACATTCTCGGTGCAATTTCACCTGACACTCGGAACATTTTACATCCTGTAATGAAAACAAAAACTTATCAAAAATTCTGGATTTTGATAAGCCACCACACTTACCCAATAAACAATGCGTTGGCATAGAATACAATCTTTTATAAAATCTGGAAAATGCTGTTTCAAATAATTACTATACTCCACCATGGTACGCGGTCCCAAATAGATTTTATCTTCTTTTTGCAAAAAATATCCCTGCGCCGTCCATATGGATTCTAGATCTTGTATACGCTGTTTGGTCAGGGGTCGTTGTACATTGGCCGGTATGAGATTGGCGACACTATATATATCATTCCAAACAAATCCGTAATCATCACTGCTAACCAGCGATTCGAGAAGTTTGTGAAAATAATTGCGTTCTGTATCCGTGTACTGGGGTTGAAATTTACACGCCAAATTAGAAGTAAGCATGCCAAACACCAAATACTCTGTTCCATCCAGTGGATGTTTGACAAACTGTAAGGTTTGATCATATTTTCGCAGCTCTGTATCAATCTCTACAATGACTCCCTTTAAAGCTGTTGGACTATCGGGTACTCGAACATCGTCTAAATACAAATGGGAAAGAGTTAAGAAACTAGATTTTGGATGTCGGGTACGAAGTTCTTACATGCATCGCATAGTTTCGCAATAATTTCTGTTACCATATCCATTGGCATACTGCCATGATTGATGGCTGCCTGAAGCAGTTGCTTTTTAACCTTTTCCATTGATGTGAAAGCGGGAGGAAGATTATTTTACAAAAACGACCGGGAAAAACACAAAAGAGATCTTCTTCTTTCAAACTAACATTCACTGTGAATTGGGAACTCAGTTATTAAGGGAAAATGACAAACTAAATAAATAAATTTGCTGCACACATCCATGACTGATTGATTGAAAAAGTTGTTTTGGAGCAAGTTGAGTTTAGGGGCTATGCTCGGATCATTTTGAAATTTTTACCGCAGGTAGGTATTTGTAACCTGATTACGGCAATGTAATTTTTTTGTGGGGGAAATACCCGGTTACCCGGTTATTCGACCCAAAAGTTCGAATACAACATCCGGTTTGTATCCGGTTCTACGTAACCGATATCAATAAAATGGGTATCATTTGAAAGCTTATGAAAATACCTATCCAACAAGTGGTCATATGACGGGGTTGCTGGAACCGGTTTCGGAGAAATTTAGGAAAATTTGCATTTTTGTATGAGTACTTTTTGAAAAACCTATAAAAACTCGAAAATGGACCCATTATAGGGTCTTAAAATCTATACACTATATTATAGCTAACGCTATTGCCTTTCCAAAATGGTGTCATATGTGTTGATATCTTTTGTGGTTCCGATAGAATTCATTAAATTATATTTTTCTCCAGTCTAGATGCATTTGACTTTGACCTTTATAGCTTTTTTAAGCAACCGGCCTTCGGCCGGGGCTTAAGATTTTCTCCTCTGGGGTATGTCCAACACCGGCTACGCGATCCATAGTTTTTCTAAAAATTGTACATTTTGTAAGTAGCCGGCCTTCGGCCGGGGCTTAAGATTTTCTCCTCTAGGGTATGTCCAACACCGGCTACGCGATCCATAGTTTTTCTAAAAATTGTAATTTTTGTAAGTAGCCGGCCTTCGGCCGGGGCTTAAGATTTTCTCCTCTAGGGTATGTCCAACACCAGCTACGCGATCCATAGTTTTTCTAAAAATTGTAATTTTTGGAAGTAGCCGGCCTTCGGCCGGGGCTTAAGATTTTCTCCTCTGGGGTATGTCCAACACCGGCTACGCGATCAATAGTTTCCTAAAAACTGTAGTTTTCGAAAGTAGCCGGCCTTCGGCCGGGGCTTAAGATTTTCTCCTCTGGGGTATGTCCAACACCGGCTACGCGATCCATAGTTTTTCTAAAAATTGTAATTTTTGTAAGCAGCCGGCCTTCGGCCGGGGCTTAAGATTTTCTCCTCTGGGATATGTCCAACACCGACTACGCGATCCATAATATTCTAACAACACCAAATTAAAAACAAAGCAGATTAACAAGAACGTTAAACCCGACACAAAACTTGGGTTCACTCAAACTGCTTTCATAAGTAACGACTTTAAAAGTCAATATCTTCGGAACTACAAAAGATATCAACACATGTGACACCATTTTGGAAAGGCAATAGTGTTAGCTATAATATTGTGTATAGATTTTAAGACCCTATAATGGGTCCATTTTCGAGTTTTTATGGGTTTTTCAAAAATTACTCATACAAAAATGCACATTTTCCTAAATTTCTCCGAAACCGGTTCCAGCAACCCCGTCATATGACCACTTGTTGGATAGGTATTTTCATAAGCTTTCAAATGATACCCATTTTATTGATATCGGTTACGTAGAACCGGATATAAACCGGATGTTGTATCCGAACTTTTGGGTCGAATAACCGGGTAACCGGGTATTTCCCCCACAAAAAAATTATATTGCCGTAATCAGGTTACAAATACCTACCTGCGGTAAAAATTTCAGGTCAATCCAAGCATAGCCCCTAAACTCAACTTATGCCGTTGTTTTAAACTATTTTTAATAAAATAAAAGGGAAACTGTAGGCGGGCAAATGATTTTTGTACAAAAAACAACAGGGAAAACACAATGTATTCTTCTTCCTCTTTCAGACTAACATTCACGAAGAATTATTAACAAATTTAATAAGGGCCAGGGACTAACTAGGAGTATATTTCCTGAACCACCATCCACTAGCTTCTGAAGAAGTTGCTTAAATCATTCCCAATAAAATAAAAAAGAAAATGAAGTTGGGCATATGATTTTTTTACAGGAACGACCGCGGAAACGCAAATAATGTCATCTTCTTCTTTCAAACTAACATTCACCATAAATTGTGTGCCAATTTATTAAGGGGAAATGACAACTAGGAGTATAATTTCCTTGACCACCATCATCTGGATACTGCTTTTACTGACAGCGGTTTGAAGAGGTTGCCTTAATCCGTTTCCAATAAAATAAAACAAAAATAAGATGGACAAATAAAGGCTTAACTCTAGTTTAGTAAAAACTCTTCAAATTTTTCGAAAATTTTTTCAGTGGTAGGTATTTTAACCATGATCCAGGGAAACTATTTTTTTCTTGGGGGACGGACCCGGGACCCCAGATTTTTGACCCGAAAGTCCGGGATCAAGACCCCGACTAGACCCGGATCCACTTACCCGATATAGACAATATGGGTATCTTTGGAAAGCTTATGAAAATACCTATCCAACAAGTGGTCACATGATGGGGTAAGATGTTACGGTTCGGAAGTTATAGTCAAATTATCGATTTTTTGGACCCGGATTTTTTATAAAACCCCCAAAAAGTCAAAAAAAGGTCCATTATGGGGGACAACAAAATTGATGCCAAATTATAGCTGACACTTCTACCTTTCCAAAAAGGTTCAATTTGTGCTAATACCTTTACTGAGTCCAGAGATATGGGTCTTTCCATCCGCATAACAATAAAAAAGGTATATTTTGCGTAAGAATGAAATTCAAAAATCTTTGGTTCGCGTTAGCCGGTGTAGGACATACCCAAAGGAGAAAATCTCAAGCCCCGGCCGAAGGCCGGCTACTTACAAAAAGTGTCAAATTTAGAAAACTTTGGTTCGCGTTAGCCCGTGTGGGACATACCCAGAGGAGAAAATCTCAAGCCCCGGCCGAAGGCCGGCTATATACAAAAAGTGTCAAACTTAGAAAACTTTGGTTCGCGTTAGCCGGTTTAGGACATACCCAGAGGAGAAAATCTCAAGCCCCGGCCGAAGGCCGGCTACCTAAAAAAAGGTATCCAAATTAGGAAACTTTGGTTCGCGTTATCCGGTGTAGGACATACCAAGAGGAGAAAATCTCAAGCCCCGGCCGAAGGCCGGCTATTTACAAAAAGTGCCAAATTTAGAAAACTTTTGTTATTCCGACGACTGCTACGCGAAATAAACACTTTTTTTTATTAAAAACATCATTTTAATGAACTGGTTAGAATCGGGTTATGCGGATGGAAAGACCCATATCTCTGGAACCGAAAAAGGTATTAGCACAAATTGTAGCATCTTGGAAAGGTAAGAATGTCAGCTATAATTTGGAAGCAATTTTGTTGACCCCCATAATGGGCCCTTTTTTGACTTTTTGGGGGTTTCATAAAAAATTCGGGTCCAAAAAATCGATAATTTGACTATAACTTCCGAACCATGAGAATTTACCCCTTCATGTGACCACTTGTTGGATAGGTATTTCCATAAGCTTTCAATCGATACCCATATTGTCTATATCGGGTAAGTGGATCCGGGTCCAGGCGGGGTCTTGATCCCGGACTTTCGGGTCAAAAATCTGGGGTCCCGGGTCCGTCCCCCAAGAAAAAAATAGTTTCCCGGGATCAGCGTAAAAATACCTACCTCTGGAAAAAATTTCGAAAAAATCTAAGAGTTTTTACTAAACTAGAGTTGTTCCCAAATAAATAATTTTTCTCTTTCCACGAACTGTTTCATTGCTAGCGTTATTGTTCAATGAATGAAAATCGTTCCAGGAATGTTTTTTTTTTTTGGTTCTATAAATAGTGAGAAACCAGTGATCCTTTGGGTAAGAAAAATTCTGTAATTATTGATAACTTCACATTATCATTAGCTTATTCCCAATTCACACAGAAAATACAGTGAAAGGACCTTATTTAAAAAAATAAAGAACCTGTAAGAATGTAACCAAACTACACGAAAACCGATGTTTCCTTTATATCTAAAAATAGTTGAAAGATTTTGACAGGTTCTGGAACAGAACATTTGAATATTTTTGGTGATATCGAATTCAAGTCAACTTTTTAGATGGACGGGGGTTATCCGTTGCAGCAAATGTGCTGTTATTTAAATTCTATGCTCATGGTGCTTATGGTTTTAAATGATTAAATAAAACAAATTTTGTACGTATAGTTCTATTTGCAACTTTATCTAATAACAATAACAATCTTCTACGAATTTTCCGATTCTTTAAACCTGAAAATAAATGAAACAAATATAAGACACAGAGTACATATAAAATAAGACAAAACGTTTCTTTGCATACTTGCACTTGAGACATGTGAAAAACACTGTCTGTCCTTCATCTGCGGAACGTAGCTGAAGAGTGGCATATGACATTTTGTCGTGACCACATTTGGAACATTTCCTCTCGACAACTGGGCCATCTGCTGCCGAACTTTCCTCCTCTTTTGTTTTGACAATCTTGTCAGGATCATAGTTGTTAAAGTGTATCGTATACTCCACTACCTGATCGCCAAACACTGAAAAACGTCGATTTGTTAATGTCAATTTAAATAATTGAATTCTGTTTACTTACCATCTGGTTTATATGTCTGTTTACAGTTGTAACATGTTACATCCTTACTACTGTCTAATGGTGGGAATATGGATCCACAAGATGGACAAAATCCTGGTGTAGATGTAAACAATTCCATTATGTTGATGTTGTATTTGTTTTGAAAATATTTTTAAAAAATATTTGCAATTCGCAAGGCTACCACGAAATTTACTAACACATAACCTATTTTCGGGTGAATAACATAATGGACTTCACGATGTTGAGAAGGTGAACGGGGGATGATGAACATTTGTTGTTGGTGCTAATCATCGTAAAATGATAACCCATATCTTAAACATCTGTTGCTGTGTTGTCGGCCGTTTTGTTTTGATTCCTTTTGTGTTGTCCGCCTTTCCCTTTTGATTCCATCTTTATTTCGATTTTCTCTCTGTGCTGTCTTTCTTTTCAGTGTTGCCATATTGTAGTGTCCTTTGTTCGTTACTTCTTTTTCTTTTCTCGGTGGCGTCGGTTGGTAATTCATTCAATTGATTTTAATTTATTAATTTATTAATTAATTATTTAATTTCGTATAAAAATTTATGTTTCTAAATTTAAAGAAAATTTATACGAATGAGGAAATGGAGTACTGTGAAAAGCGAAAAAGGGTGATTCATGTTTTTCTCACAACAATACACACTGACAATATTGAACACGTGCGTGTGTTGTTGCCAGACCGTTAATAACGTAAGATTATGTGGGGAAAAGCTGACATTATTAGAATATTAACTTATAAAGAAAATTTCCTTTAATAAAAATTAAATTATTAAATTATTTTCATTAGGCGATTATCTCAATATTATTATACTACTAAGCATAATATAGTTGCATTCAAAATGCTTGAAGATTAAAGTTAAAGGACTGCTTTATGTATGTCGGAAGAAAATGAATGTGAAAAACACCAAATTTCATTTTTTTTAAATAATTAAATATTAAGAGTTTGAAAACTCACAAAAAATGGTGTTTTCCTCTTCATTCATTTTCTTCCGTACAAAATTACCAATGATTATTGGTTCCGTGAAAAGTCTTACAGTGAAAAATTGTGAAAGTCCATTTACTTTTAATTTAAACAAGGTCATAATCATAATATATAACATTGACGGGCCTTTAACTCAGACCTCTACTTATAATTCTGAACGTTGTACATGTATTTTTGAATTAAAAATACATTTTTTTATTTTTGCCAGTAGTTGTTTTGCTCATATACAAAACCCATTACTGCCAGGTTCAAAATCGAATATATTTTTTCATCTATGACAAGTGGTAAATTACAAAATATGAACATAAACCCTATTTTGATTTGACTTTATCATCCTTTTTGTCTTCTTCACTACCATCTGTTTCGTTTTCTTCCTCCGATTCCTCATCCGAGTCATCGTCTTCGTAATCATCATCATCGTCGTCATCTTCCTCGTCATCATCATCGTCATAATCTCCGGCACCATAACTAGATGTACCGGCTCCGGCGCCTGAATAACCACCATAATAGCCGCCATAACCACCACCACCATACTCATCATCACTATCCACAGCACCGCCTTGTTGTTGACGACCATATTTATGGGATCGCGTTGACATACTCAAATCCTTGGTAACCGATGTCTCATAATTGCACTTTGGACATGGTATGGCCTTGTTCTTCTCGTACTTAAAGCCCTTGCGTCGGACATGATCCTCACAGTAGCATGTCTTGCAACGCAGGCAAGAGTATTGACCCAGTCGATTGCACGATTGACACTTAAAGTTCTCACTTTCCAAAACCTGACAGGAGGCTTGATGTTCAAATTGGTCATCTTCGCAGAGAAAACCATTGCAATAGGAGCATTTAAAGATGCGACCACCATGATCCCATACACCTCTCTCGCACTCCAAGCAAACGGCATTTTGCAGCGGACAACTGCAGGCGTGTGTCTGCAGACATTTTCGACCATGACACACCCAAGCTTCACAAAAATCACATATGGCTCCGACCATACCCATTCCGGTGGTGTACACACCGGCATGTTTGATTACACAGTCACCGGTCTTCAGCATGCACTTGACTTTGCCACATTGAGCACAAATCGGTAGACGTTGCATACTTTGACAAAAGTAACAAAATGCTCGAGACTTTTGCTTGCGTTCGCATTTGTCACATTCCATGGGAGCATTGCAGGGGAAATCAGCTAAGGGCACTTCGCGGCTACGAATCTCTTTGAGTCGTAGTTTTTGCTTTTCGGCCTTTTTCCTCTGACCAGTCTTTTTCTTGGGCATATTGGATGAATGCTTTTCCTGTCCGTTCCGGTAATATCGTGGATATGATTACGACTCGTAATCAGTGATGTGTAGTTCACAAACGACCTAATCCAATTGAACGATTCACTGAAAGGAGCGGTTGAACTGGGTCGTATACAAACCAGTGATGAGCAGAATGGAGAAAGATACGTTTTTTTGTTTCTTTTTGTCAACATTTTGAAATATAATATCAATGTTCATATCAGTTGAAGAGCAAGGCGAACTTTAAATTTTAATTGTCAATTGAATAGAAGAGCGCAGATAGGGAATTCTTGTTGGTGAACTAGGGTTAGCCAAAATGTAAATAAAATGAAATAGGGGTATATAGGTCGACATTAACAAGTAGAAAAATATTTCAAGTCACACTTCGTTAGATGGATTTTAATGAAAAACATCGCAAAATTTTTGATGACAAACTTATTTCTTATAATTATGCACTTAATTCCCTAAGAATATTTTATATTTAAGGAGTTATGGTCATTTTAAAATATTCAATAATTCACGTTTAAAAAAGTGATCACAAAACGTAGCTAAAAACACCGAAAACGCAATATTTAAGGAATTATGTCAATTTTAAATATAGCAAACATGGTAGAAGAATATAGGTAGACGCGTCGACACAGCTGCTGGGACAATGAACTGTCAAACCAATTTTGGAATTGAAAATATTGAATGAAAAATTATTTAAATTTGTAAAAATTGTTGAAAAAACGCGAATTTTAATAGCCTCCGAATGACGTAGTATAAGAAAACATATAAAAATCTACTTATATTTGAAAAAAACATTAAAATTTTTTTGACATATCAATGCTCCCAAGCGTTGATGCATCTACCTGTATTCTTCTGCCATGATAGCAAAACTCACGATTAAAAAAGTGATAACAAAACACATTACTAAAAATGCTAAAAACTTAATATTAAAGGAGTTATGACCATTTCAAAATATTCAATAATTCACTCTTAAAAAGACTGATCACAAAAGTAGCCAAAATGCTGAAAACTCAATATTTAAGGAGCTGACACTTTGATACACTACAATATAGGTATCAAAGCACCATTTCATTTTAATTTTAATCTTGAAATGTTTCATAGTCCTGCAAAATTTTATTTAAAACAATATTCGGAAATTTAGATTACTCTATGTGCTTTCCTCTATATCACATATTTGGCTTTATTAGTCAACCATGTATTTTCCCATGTATTTTTTGATTTCGTTACTGTTGGTATTTTTTCACACAAAATTGTTGTCCATTTTACCAGCTAAATATTATCCGATCATTATCCCAAATGCTAGGCTAGTGTTCGCCTAAGCTCTAACTTCATAAAAAATTCCATGTCTGTTGGTAGTTAGTTGAGAACTATAGGGCGACTGAAAAATGTACACAATTTTTAGGTTTTTGGTCCATTTTAAAGCGTAAATATTTTTCGAACATCTTCCAAAACTCACATTTGATCAGGGACTTTATTTTTATTCGGTTATTTTACATATATTACATACATATAAAAATGTATTCTATCTATATTTTGCCTCAATTAGATTTATTAGATTTCAAGACATTGATAACGGTTGCATGTTCTGCCAATAAATCCAGTAAAACTTCAATTTTCACATCAGACATGTTGTTCTCCTCTTCCAGTGACTTAATACGGCGATTTAGCCGCACAACTTCATCGACATCTCCCTTTCGAGCAGAATGAATCCATATGCCATCGGCAAAGCGTAGCTCCTTGTTACCCAAATTCAAGGATACATGTTTATAATCGTCCAAATCTTCGTTGACCATGGGAAAACCGGTATTGCAACGGCCGGTGCGTGGTGGAATAATTTTTGATTCAAACTTTTTATTAAACAATGGCATTTTTTAATGTTTATGTTTTTATTCTTTCTCCTTGAATGTGAGTTGTAAATAAATGAAAAATAAATTAGCCAAATAAATGGAAATTTGAAACCATGACAACCATTCACGCACTGAGCGAATGACCGTCACCACTGACAACATGAAATGGTCAATTTTCCATTTTGAACTTTATAAAATGAAAGGGGGTTGTTGTGACCACAATTAATGTGTTCCATGTCAGAGGAAAATGGTGGATTTTTTAAATTTTAATTCCATATTAAAATATGTTGTGTAGGAATTTTATTTGGCACTTAAAATGGATTCACAGCATCCTTTGGGCTTCAGCAGTCATCCTAGGTTTGATTAATACAAATTTGAAGTTAAAGAAACCCTATTAAACTCTATTTTGGATAGTATTCTAGAAGAAATCACAAATGGCTGTGAAAAATTAATCACTCAAACTCAAAGTGATTTGGAAATTTTTCGGGTATATTGTCAATATTGAATTTGGTTTTCAACACATCGCTCCAAAAAAATAAAAATATAACATTTTTCTAATGCAGCAGGAGCAACATGAATTCCTAAAGCAAATACACAAGATCCAAGATGAAAATAACGAGCTAAATTCCAAACTGGATGTGTTGAAAAATGCAACGCAGGTTGGCGAGACGCGAGACGATGCTACAAGGGAGAAATTAACAAGTGATGCTGTCAAAAATGTTATGAGACAAATTGAATATTTACAAACTGTAGGTTTTGTTTTACGAACAGATTCAGTAAGAAAATCGAATTTATATTGTTTTTTTTTTTTTCTACAGGAAAATAAGGATTTGAAATTGTTGAATGCAAATTCTCAGAAGACTATTGACAATCTGGAAAAAGAAATTCAGAATTATCGAAATCAATTATTTAATCCGGCATCAGCGTGTGAGGTGAGTACAGAAGCGCACAAATTACATCCTTGTTGTACACCAATGAGGAAGACTTGGAAATATTGACTCTCAAATAGTTTTAAAATGGCTAAAACTTTTATTAATCATGAGCATCTTTCAAACACAATTTGATGTAAACTCAAGCAATTACAAACTAACATATGTATATGGTAGAACGAGGGTCAATCGACCTTGTATTATTTTGAAAATATACAGGTGAAATGCATACTTTGCGGACACTTCATCATTTATATTTGCAGATAAAACAGAAATATGCCACAGCCCTAAAACTCTTGGAAGGCACGGTTGTAAGTCAAAAAAGAGAGATCAAGGAGCAAAAAGAAATGATCGAAAATCTTTTTGGACAGAAAAAGCATATGACTCTTCATATTGAAAAACTGGAAAAATCTCTTGAAGGTAATAAAATGGAACTTGCAAAACAGTTGGACCTGATATTCTTTTAATTTATATTTATAGAAAAAGAAACCCAACTTTCAAAATATCAAGAACAGACCGAAAATGTTCGTAAGCTGGAGAAACAGTTAAAAGAATATTCGGAGCAAAACAAAGATTTGGAGAAATCGTTGAAAAATGCTAAACTTTCTATTGAGGAAAGATTCCGACGTGAACAAATGGCCTTGCAGAAAGTACAAGAAGCATTGGCCATAGCCGAAGGTGCCGTGGCCGATAAGGAAGAGGCTTTGAAGCGGGAGAAAATTGTTAAAGAAGAATGCGATAATATTGCTTCTACAATAGGTCACATTATGGATGAGGCAGCGCGTAAGGTGGAAAAAGATATGGAGGCAATTCGAAAGAAATATCTGGAAAAGGAACGAGTATTATTAGAAGAAAAAAGTAAGGTAAGACTAAAAAGGAAAAACGCGCTAAGGTCGGCAACTTTTAATATCCTCCACTATGAGGAAAAGAAACATTTAAAACTCAAAGATCGGCAGTAAATATTGGGACCGCTTTCAATTTTGTCATTGAAATCTATTGGTAAAGTTTAAAACAAAAAAAATAAAGTCGATGGTATGGTTTCCTGCTAAGCCTCTATCGTGGGTTTCAAATTCCAAATTAAAAAAATCTCTTAAAAATGTGGGTATAATCAACAAAATACATAGTATTAAAAATGCCTCAGAATGCAGAATCCATTACAAATTCCAAATACCGAATTTTAAACAATTCCCCTAAAAAATGTGGTTAAAGACATTAAAATACCGAATATTGGAAAGTACCGAAACATGGGGGTTTAAAATAGAACGTGAACATATATAGACAATGTTCTGTCACAGGGGTGGAAGCCGTTACAAACGCTAATTACCGAATTTTGAACAATTCTTTAGAAAATTGGATCGACATTTTCAAAAAACCGATTATCAGGATGTATCGTTATATGGGGGACTTATATAGACAAAGTTTTGCCACAAAAGGTAGAACCCATTATGAAATCTATGAATCGTATTTTAAACAATCCTGTGTAAATATGTGGCTTAAATTCCTAAAATACCGAATATGGAAAAAACGTGGAAGGACATGGCCCATTTACTTACTTAACCTGCTAAAAATTCAATTTAAAATCGTATAATGTAACATTTAACACCCTCTTTCAGATGCGCGAAGAAATGCTCAATCAAAACAAACTTTATCAAATACTCAATACCAGATGTAATCGATTTGAACAAAATTACAAAGATGCCCTTAAGGATAATGACAGGTTGACCAAACAATTGGAGCTGGTGGCAAAAACAATTGTACGTATTATTACATTTGACATGCGAGCCAGACATGGAATGTTTCATGAGGAAAACTCTGTGTTGGGAAGAGAGAAGTCAAATAGATTTCCTTTTTTCCATGAGGGTCATACATAAACCCTTTCTTTTATGAAATTTTCAATGTATATCCCCGGCATTAGTGTTAAATTCTTAAATCCACCTTTAAAATAAGGTGAATTCAAGAATTTAACACTTTATTTTTAATATCATATTCTTCAAATCCTTTTCGATGCCCATTCAAATCCACATTTTTCGAAATGCCTCCCTAGAGTGAAATGGAACAAAAATTATTACAACAGGAAACTAATAACACAAAAAACAACAACATGGACAGAAAGTAAGTAATATTTTTAATTATATTAGATTAAAAATCTTGCCAACATATTTTTCCATTCATTCAGAAATTTAAGCGATGAGGCAGAACAGGAAATCAAATACTATATGGAAACTAATAAACAATTACAAGAGAGGTAAGAAATGACTTGCAATTAATATAATTGGAAAATAATATTTTATTGCTTGATTAGATCTAATTATATCTTAAAACAAGAGAATAGGTAGAACGTAATGAAATATTTTCTTATTTTCTAGATATCGCATGACCATACAAGATTTAACCAAATTGTTTGAGGAGCAAATTTATTCGCTGCAAACCGAAGTGGCAAAACTGAGAGCAGAAAACAAGATTTTAAAGTCTCATAGGCAGTGCAGCAAAACTTGAAACCCCGAAACGAGAAAGAAAGAAATATCAACGGTTGTGTGTACATATATTTTCTAGCTATAATTGTTAAATATTCTATACACTGTTTATTTTTTATTTTATTTTGTATGTTAATAAATACGACTTTGGAAAAGAAAACCATAACAAATAGAGATTTAGTTAGGAATATATTATTACTGCTATGCGCTCAATTGGGTCGTTCTACCGGGAAATAAACTAGGAAACCAATAGCTGGGTTCTGTGTCTTGTTCATCTATCCAACATAAGCCTTCCCCAATGACTTTGTCCAGGGATTGACGTGCCCTATAATCTGGCCATCTGTAAACACAAATTACATACAAATTATAGTTTTTTTTTATTAAATAATCTTTTGTTGTATATACTTACCCCAATTGTTCCATAAGCATGTTATGGGTTACACAGCCTTGTTCGGTATCAGAAGCCAATGTTAGAATCGTTGTTTCTTCCATACTCAATTCGCCGGGAATAGATTGGACAATGTATTTGCCCTTGCCCAATTTGTGAACAACAAATCTGAAAATTATAATTGTTAGTAGGGTTTGATAAAATGTTTGCATATTATTAATAGCTTGTTTTAGGTAACATTAGTGTTCAAGATATTAATAAGGATAGTTCCATAAATGGCCCTGTAATAACTCCAAACGGTCAGAATGAATTTTGTGCTTTATGGCCCGTCATATAGTCCAATGGTTGTTATGATGTCTTTTTATTGATTGCTATTTTCGATTTTCCAAATTCTCTGGAGACCACTTGGAGCTGTGCAAAACTTACCCATTACCAAATATGCTCAATTTCTTTGTTGCCATTAGAATGTCCTCATTTGTTATCTCCTGATGAACAGCGCTTTGTCCTCTAGCTGCAATCAGGCGACGTCGTAATTCATTTAATTCCATTAATCCACCTATTCATAAACAAAAGAAAATACATAAAACAAAAAAACGACAAACAAGCATTTTCAACACCCACCTGTTTTATGATTTGATGCCAAACATACCTCCACTACTTGAACACCCAGCTCATAATAGAAATCACCCATACCGAGAACGCTCCAAAATCCTTTGCCCGATGCCAACGGGTCGACTCCAATGGCTGCACACATTTCCTGAAACTGTTTTCGAAATTGGGCATTTTTCTTAATATCCTGTTTATGGCTAATCGAAAACTCTTCCAATTTTTCACGAAACACTTCCATTTGTTTTGTCATCTGTTCCAGTTGGCTTTCCTGTAAGTCGGTGCCCTTGTCTTTTAGTTTTTCGGCAGCAATTTGTTGCTGTTGTATGGCTCCAATGCCGACACGGCGTCTCATTTTGAGATGTATAAATTATTTGTTATGCGTCAATGGTTTTTGGACCGCAATTTCTGGATGGATTATCCCTTCACTCCTTTAGCCTAAGTGGTCCAGAAAAAAAGTTTAAAATTCAAAGCCTTTGCATGACATTTGACGGCGACGCTCTCATATTCTTTGGCGATAGGACGCACAATAAAGAAAAAGGCGCTCCATTAACTATACATTCCATAACTAGACACGCTCCATTAACTCAGAATAACAAATAAATATTAAAATTTCAAATGAATTACAAATTGATTACCCGTATTACAAAATAAACTGTTACTGGCTTCAACATATATATTTCAAATTTCAAAAAGTGTCCAACATGTCCAATTGATTATTAAAATGAATCGTAATTTATAAAAAAATAACCGAGTTTTTGAATACGATCTTTCACAAAATCCACTATCATATACCAAGTTTTAGGATTAGACTTTAATATGTTAACATTACAAAAACTTGCCGGCTGAACCTCCTTGATGAGGGCTTATTTATGATATATGCAACAGTAGGGCAATTTCATTCTATACTTAAAATATCTTGTGGATCCCGTAAAATTAGTCTTAACCTTGCAACCTCAAAAAGCTCATTTCTAGAAAAACTTTAAAGTTCCTTCTCTGGTAGAGCAAAGGTTTAAATTTCACCAGTGGGATATTACATCTCTAACACCGGCTACGTGAAACCATTTTTTCTAAATTTTTAAAGGGTGGACACTTGGCTCTGGTTTGAATCTTTCATATATCAAATATGCCCAACACCGACTTCGCGAATGGTCGGCAGGACATTGTTTCATATTTTCCATTCTGGGGTCCAACAGGGGCCTTAAAACTAGATTTATAACATTAAGCTTCATCAGCACTCTCACCTGTCCGAGTGTGTGATATATATCTGGCCAGAACCTCTAGTTCAATTCAAATAAAAACAAAACAATATTTCGTACATATCCGTTTTTTATTTTCACATAGACTTATATATAGTAGGTGTGTGTGTTTGGGAGTTTGTTTCTCATTATTATTGGTATCATAAATCATAATATTTTGAATGCATGTATTACAGCAGGATGCCAGAAAAACACAAGTTTTTTTATTTCTTGGAGATGGAATAAAATTTGCAGAAATGTCAAATATTTTATTTTTTTCTTTTGTTTGTTTGTTTTGGTTTTTCATTACATTACATCATATTAATTATAAGAATAGCACACATATGCTTTAATGTATATATGTATAGTATATTTTTGGTAGGGCGGGGAGAGTGAGTGATTGTTGGATGGAAAATTAAACATGATTTTTAAGAATTACATAAAAAAGATGTTTTAAAATGTATGCGGCATTAAAGTTTATAATCGTCGCCTGTCTGTTAGTAACAACCATAAGGCAAAAGCAAAAAAAAAAACACTACCAGAGAAGTAGCTACAACATTTTCAGCCTTCTTCAAATGGTCATTACTATTTTCAGGCGACATCAACTTGCTACTGCTAACATTTTCCTCCCTACAGCTAGTTTGTTTTATCTTGTTACTGTTGAATTTCTTTTCTTTGCCTTTTTGTTTTGTTACCACAATTTTAAAGTTAAAAAAATACATAAAGAATAAGGGCTTTTTAAGAGATAAAAAAATAATAATAAAAGAGAAAGGAGAAAAGGAAAGACGAATAATATAATGACGCCTATTTATGTGCGTCAATATGTGAATTCTAATAAGTTTCTACAATCTAATCATCCATACTCTCGTTTGTTCTGTCTGGGGAGGCGTTGCCATTTTTCGGTGATGCTGAGCGTGATCGTGATCTGGAACGAGAACGGGATCGGGATCTAGATTTGTTGTCACGGGATGCAGAGCGATCGCTGGAAAAATAAGATTATGAAAAAAATAGAAAAGAAAAATGTATCAAAATTAGCAAAAGAAACTTCAAGAAAATAAATTAATGTGAAAAATTAACTACAACAATTGATCAAACAAAAAGCTAGGGCAAGGCATTTCGAAATTGGAAGTGCAGCAGCAACCAGTTGAAATATGAATTTCAAATTTTCTTACAGAACGACTTAGCTTTTGGTTGGCAGCTACTTCAAAATTTAAAATGTCTTAGTATTTATTTTATACAAAAAGCATTAGGAAGAGAGAAATACAAATGAAAAGAAATTGAAAATATTCCGCAGCACCATCACAAGCAAAATTGTGTTGTTCTTTTTTTTTTGTAAATATGATGGCCCTTCTTGACTTAAAGTTATATGAAATCTTTAACTAAAGTAATAAGGAGGTGTACGGTCGGAAGAATATTTAAATTATAAAGAAAAATAACGTTGCAAACATCATGAAATATGACCAGAACATAGCCGCTAAAATCAAATTACATTGTGATGGCGCTAACGAAAGACGACATAGACTTATTTGAATTTCGATTCGTCTCTTACTTGCAGTAGTAGGAAGGAACATTTTTAAGAACTGCTTCAGTTTTGGATGATATATTCATAGTTTTTTTTTTTTTTCCAAAAATGATCAAAAAATAAAGAATTTTTATGCAAAATAAATTCAAAATACATAAGAGGAAGAAGAATATAATAATTACGGGGGGAGGTGGGGGAAAGAGAATTTCAAATAAACAACATATTAAAAGGGGGGAAGAAGAAGAACGGGGAATTGGTAGTTTGTTGTATTGAAACAATGTAAACAAGAACGTACTCAACAAAAATCATTGAGACACATACACACAGAGTTAGAGACGAGACCGACCGACATCGCATGGAAATGACAACATCCGCCGTTGTATAAATTTTGTGCATCATGACAAAATAAGAGAATTGTATTTATTATTTTTCAATCAATCAATCAATCAGTATCAGTTGTTGTTGTTTGGGAAAAACACCAATCAAGTGTATGTGTGGTAGTGGTAGCGAAACAGAAAATAAAACAAAAACAGAAAATATTGATTTAATAAAACATGAACAAGTAATTTAATATGGGCTAACACAAACATCAACTTACCGTGAACGAGAGTCTCTGCGCGACTTGGAACGGGAGCGTGAACGCGATTCACGTTTTGAAACGGAACGGGAACGAGAGCGAGAATCATCACGTTTCACTGAACGTGAACGGGAGCGGGAACGAGGTGATTTAGATTTGGATTTGGAAAGTTCACGAGATTTGCTGTAAAATATTAAAAGTGTATTAACACCGTTTCCAACGCCATAGAGAAATATGACAACACTTACTTTGAACGAGAGCGTGAACGTGATTTAACTGGCGACTTGGACTTGGAACGAGCGCCACGGGACTTGGATCGGCTTCGCGACTTTGATCGAGAACGCGAGGAACGACGAGAGCGGGAGCGCGAACGTCTGCGAGAACGTGATCGAGAGCGTGAACTGGATGAGCCCGATTGGCCACGTCCACCACGCCCGCGACCGCTACGACGATCTTCAACCAGACGTATGCGGCGACCGTTCAAATCAGTATCGTCCAATTTCTCGATCGCAGTCTTCATGTCGGACAACGAAGCGAACTCTACCACACTGCAAAAGAAATAAAAAACGTATATAAATTCCACAATAAACTATGATTTGAAAGTATAAAACTTACCCTTCATTACGTCTCTGCTTGTGGGCATCGGCATATGTGACCTCTCCTGCTTGACGCATATAGTCTTTCAGGTCCTTTAATATTTTCGAATAAAGGCATAGAAAAGAAAATAAAAAAAGCAAGAAACAAAAAATATACATTAGAACATTATGTTTCACAGCAATTCCAGAGCAACACTTTATGAATTGAATAGAACTTCTCCAGCATTTTACATAGCTAAGACCTCAAAATCGACACCGGATTATAGCCTGCCTATACAAGTCATCCCTGTCGCTAGAGTACGCCGGTTGAACCGAATTTAGTGCAGGGGGAGAGAGAGAGAAAATGAAACATCAACTACGAAGACCAATAGGTGAGGTGGTGGCAGGACATTTCCCTCCGCCGTGTTGCCCAAAGTCCTGTTGTCCGAAATGGAAGTCTGCTAAAAGTGCCTGCGATGCCTTTCCAAAAGCAGCCATGGAACTATGTAAAAGCTGTGAGAGTCTATTCAATCGCTTGTGTTTCAACTCTTATCATGTAATTATCAAAATATTAATACTATAAGGTAAAAAACCAAAAAATCAACTTTTTTCTTGACTTGTTGAAAGAAGTTCTTACTTAGTACATTTCTGTTTTTTTACTTGTAACGTTTTTGTGTTCGGACCAAATCAACAACCAGAGATTACACGTCGTCGTCGACCAACTGACCAAGTTTACACACACACACGGGGGCACGTGCTGAACACAATGTCTAGTGTTTCGAGTAGTGGGTAGTAGGTAGTAGAATGTTGTAAGTTATACGAAATTTCTCAAAATGCTGTAAATCTGGTCAAGTTGTAGAGAGACGTTCACACATTGCACCTCAGTAACAACGCACATAATAATCATTTTAGTATGGGGGATTTTGTGGGGGCACACACACATCATCATCACCATCCTCATTGATCGTCTTAAGAAAGGGGGATTTTTTCATGGCAATCGAACGTGGCTCATCGTGCGCATATTGTTTTCCACTATACTACTAAACGAAAATACACGTACAAAATAAGGAGGAAAATAGCTGCTCTTCGTTTAAACCACCACAACATGAGATTAGGTATGCAAGCCAGAGAGGATTCACCACAGCTGCCACAATTTAGATCAAGTTATCAAAATATCCCCTAGGTATATTATTGAATTGTATGTGACATCTGGGCTGTCTCATAGAGAGGACGGGCGGGAAGCGACGCAGTAAGACCATAACCAATATTCTGCAAAAATACTGGGGGGCACCACCAAGCACATCCCCCTCATTCCATGTATGGAAATGCTTGATTTCTGTCTGACTCTAGGGATGTATGCGTAGTATTGGACCAAAACCATTTTAGCAACAAAGCATAAGTTCGCCATCCATTTACTGAAAAAGAGAAAAATTGTAAGCATGCCTTTTTGCAACAAAAAGACATGTTTAATTTTGCGTGTTTTGTACATAGGAAACGGGCGCCGCATCAAATCCGGTATGCCTGAAAGGTCCGCTGGTACACAAATAATGTAGCAATTATTTGGCAAGGCTCGAAAACCTGGTATGTCGTCTTCGATCATCATCAACTGTTGTGGTAACGATCGATATTTTGGCAATCGTCTTTCACATTGGTAGGTACCCATTTTTGATATTCAATTAGTCTCGTTTGCTTGGCCTTTGGATATTGAATTCGTTTGTGGGCATAGTCGCTCATCAACCAGAAAGTAAGAAAGGTAGAAGCTTCCAGTAAAAATCAATCGCCCAAAAAAACAAGTAAGAAATGCGCCTTAGGAGCCTTCTCGTCAATTCTATTTGATATCTATGGTGCTTTCTTCGGACATCATAAGATCCCATTGGGTCTCCAAGGTGGTCATCATTCAAATAACCGCGTTCGATTTATGGAACCCTGTGTAGGTGATTTGCCTCAAATCCAAATGTAATTTTTAAAGTGTCTCATTGGTTTTTAAATTCCCATTGGGACGGACATCAGCACACGTCTCATAATGGCGCTTCAATTTAAGATCTTAAATGGCCAACGAATACATGATATAGACACAAAGATAAAGTTCTAAAATTAAATGTTTATATGGCAAAAATATTAATGTTTTAATCGTGTATTCATTTGTTATTTAAAATACCTAAAAAATTCTGTAGCTCATCATTCATTTTAGATCTCAAAGGACTTAGGCAAAAATTCCTACATTATGACAATCATTGCATTTCACTGAAGCAGAGGAGGAATCAAAGGAGAAACTTTGTCATTTTCTCCGTTCCTTCCTTCCATGCTTCCATGACATACAATGTCATACAATAATGATGGAATTTCTGCGATAATATGGAAAGTGCGCACTGGACACAATAAGAAACAGTGTAATGCATTCTTGGGATGGATCTCAACCATTGCACGGTCGTCTTCATCCAGATTGTGGAGGTAGTATATAGTGGTATTATATTGCCTTGTAATGTAGCCTAGCATGTTCGTTGGAATGTACGACGACGAGCAACATCTTCGGGACCAATGTATCCACATTCAGATAGAAATCATCGCTGATCAGTCCTTAGGTTTATTTCGTGGCAGCAAAGTTGTTCATTGTAAGCCTGACTTAAAACTTGCGTCTCATTGACCGGACCTGGCTAGCCCAACGAGATTGTTGTGTGTGAGTTGGGGTACTATTATTATTGTTTCCCTGTCTATTGCCAGTCACCACCATGGCCTCTGGATTTACACAACCAACACAACAAATACATCATAGAGGAAAGATTATTAAAAGAGCGAACATGTTCAACCAGTCACTAAGATAATGTCATCATCTCTTCAAGTGCAACATCTTCTTCATCCTCTCCGGTTTGGCTTATTTGGCCATTGGCACAACATTTTCGATTTAGTCCAACTCTCATTCTTGGTGACCACCTTAGGATGCGAGCTGTTGTATTTTTGAGGTTTGATGATGTACCCATGATTTGTGGCGCATTTTGTAAAAATTTTGGTCGTTTACATTTTACGAAATAGAAATAATAATGAAGGGGTAAAATGATAACAGTAAGTCAGTTTCTTTCGATTCTATGCTATATATGTACATATATATTTTGTAGGTATTTAAAAAAAAATTATATACTAAGTTGTAAAAAAAAACTATTGGGGCAAGTTAAACGGGCATGTTATTATTGTTGTATTATGCAAAAAAGGAGGTGGGAGTAAATTTGAAAAGAAAAAAGATGGATTTGGAGGTGGGATATGTAAAGCATGCATTGGATAACTTGATATTGAATGCAGACAAAATAGAATGTCTTCGGAAATGTATAAAACGAACTCGTGGTAGCAAAAATTATAAGTTCGTTACATTTTTTGCGAGTTTTAGTCTTTACATGTATCGTTTGCTTAATTAAAAAATATATATTTCTTAGTTGGGGAGTATCTATTTTTATCTACAGTAAAACAAAAGAAAAAAACATTCGAATACATACCTGCCAGCTGACACGGCTAGACAAATTCTCAACAATAAGTCGATATTCAGTGCGTAATGGTGGTCCATAACGTGAATTGGATCTGTTGTTATTTTTGTTTCTGTAAAAGAATGAATGAAATGATATATTTAATATATTTGGTTTGATTGTAGAATAGGAGATAACAATGAAGTAGATTCTCGATAAAATGTAATTACAAGGTATTAAGAAGTTTAGAATTATCAAGGTTTTTACTTGAAAGTGGAATAGGAACAAAAAAATTGTATTTAGTAAGGTCAAATATCCCTTTTTTTACTCAAAAAATTATGCATACATTAGTTTCTTTTTGCTTTTTTTTACCTCTAAGCTAAATGTTTTTATCTTAAGGTTATGTTTACATGTATACAGCAAAACACGTTTTTCATTGTTTTGCACATACATGTTTCTCGCTAATTTACTGTAAGCGGGAAATATAAATAAATATGTCAACTAGTTTCTCTAAGTTGCTTGGCAGTAGGATTTTGCGAATTTTCAACTCAGTGAGTCAATTTGGCATAACTCTTGGAAAATAAAAGTCGAACATTGTTTCGGCCTTAAGTATATCGCTTTTCATGCCAAACACCACAATAATGAACCAATGAAATGAGTGACAGCAAAACCTACCCCTAACAACCCGTAAAAAATTAATTGAAAGGGATATATTATACTTACTTGTCGTTGTAGCGACCACCACCACGACGGCCACTGTCATAGCGATCGTATCGGTCTCGATGGCCTCCACCACCTCGAGCTGTTCCACGGGCTGGCTCAACAACAACTCTGAAAGCAAATAATATTAAATTTTTATTAACCAAAACATATTAAAAAGACAAAAGATAATATTACCTTTCCCCCAGTAATTCTTTCCCGTTTAGTTCGTAAACTGCATCGTCGGCATCGCGATAATCTTCAAATTCCTACAAAACAAAACAAACACATGTATTACAAAATACACATTTCATTGCTGCGTCTTTACCACCAACTTACCACAAAACCATAGCCATTTTTAATTAAAATGTCCCTTGTTCTGCCATAACCCTTGAAAAAACGCTCCAAATCGCGTTCTCTGACACCATAGGGCAACCCTCCGACATAAACGCGTGATCCCACCATTTTTCAGAAAGTAGTATTATTTCTTTGCGTATATACTTCCAAATCCTGCTGCAATCAATAAAAGAGGTTTTTTATATAATTTTTCTTTATTCTAATGCAAGAATATAAGCTATTCGTTATCGCAAAAGTCCACATAAAAAATACAGTTCTGCGCAAAACACATTTTTTTTTACCGAAATTGCAATATGGCGTCACCGGGTACAGAATAATTTGTATATCAATCCTTTTCGACTGAATTTAATCAAGTTATTTATTTTGTTTCACACAAATGCTTACCTTCGGTTCGCTAAATAAATTTAGCTTAACAATAAAAATGTGTTTTTCCAAAACAATTTCTACAATTTCTATAAAACCTTCACTTCTTTATTCCAGCACCACAACGATTAATTCACGACGCCACCGAACGGAAATGAACGAATACACTATGCCTTCACGAGTAGGAGAACAAAGCCAAACGCAGTCGTCATCGACGTTGACAATTGCAGCATCGACATCGATGTTTTAGGAATGGTTTCAAACGGCGTGAGGGTAAAGTCTTGACAGGAGTTACAAGAAATATAAATGATGTGCTAAAAAATGTACAGTTACATTAAAAAGGTTGTTTTACAAAAATAATAAATAAAATTAATAAAAAAATTAAGTCTAATTTTTAAGCTATGGCAATTAAAAGAAAATGCAAGTAAATTTTTGGCGCAGTTTACGGCGTTGTTTTTTTTTTCTTGGCGTAGTTTACGACTTTGTTTGCCGACCCATGACGCCGATGAACTTGTAACTGATGGCGGAACTGGAATGGTATGAGTTCTAAACACGTTTGGTAGTTGAGTAAATTTTGAGAAAAGGCGGGAATAATGCAGGAATTTTTTTCTATAGACATTATTTTCTGCAAAGAAGTGTTATGAATCTCCGAAGCCCTATGGAGATGTCTGAAAGAATAAATTTAAAAAAAGTCAAATATCACATGGCTTTCCTAGTTTACATTCATCATAAGTAATGTTCGGTATATTCCCACATAGTTTTCCTCCCAAAATCCGTATGGATTGTTCAGGCATCAATGAATTGTTTTGTTTCATTTCAAATAGTTCCCTAATATGTGGTTGGCAACACTAATATAATTTAATTATCGTTGTTTAAGCATTTTAAAGTCCAGAGCCACATAAGCCAATGGCAATAATACGTTCACATGGAAGTCACTTACTTATAGCATACAACTGCTACATGGTAGGTGATAAAATTTTCTTTTTCCCAAATAACACCTGTCGTTTTCGGAGTCATTTAGTAACCCAAATGCATTTGACAATGTGATGGTGTCAAATAGTTTTGAATAAAAAATATGAATATATGATTGTATCTCATTTATTTGATATTTTTTCACCTTTTTTAATTGAGTTACAAAGGCGAAAGATGAAAAGGCCAATATTTCAATTCCATGGGAAAACTAGTTAGTATTCCTATTGCGCCCTTTTCATTGATCATGATTTAGTCTGTTTGTTTTTTTTTTTTTTGTTTTCAGAACAATAATACAAACTCAAAAATGAAAGAAGTCGAACACTCAAAAAATTTTTTAACTAGCTGCTAGATATACCTAACTTATTCATTGGCCCACTGTTCCTGCCACTGATTTATGTATAAACAATGAATTTATGAATATTCATTACCATAGTAAATTATTATCAAAGGTGTTATTTGGAAAAAAGAAAACTCCATCACCTATCTTGTCTTGTCTTAAATGACTTCCATGTAAACGTACTTTTGCCGTTGCCTTTGAAATGCTTAAACAACGATAATGAATTTAAATTCGTGTTGCCAATCAAATAATTAGGAACTATTTGAAATGAAACAAAGCAATTCATTGATGCCTGAAAAATCAATGCGGATTTTGGGAGGAAACCTATTGGAGAATATACCGAACATTACTTATGATGAATGTAAACTAAGAAAGCTCTGTGGTATTTAACTATTCTTTAAATTTCTTTTGAAGACAATAGATTTATTCTTTCAGACATCTTCACAGGGCTTCTTTGCAGAAAGTAGTGCCTGCTATAGCAAAAAATTCCTGCATTATTCCCGCTTTTCTCAAAGTTTCCTAAACTACCAAACTTGTTTAGAATTCATACCATTCCAGATCCGCCATCAGTTACAAGTTCATCGGCGTCTTGGGTCGGCAAACACAGCCGTAAACTGCGCCAAAATATACTTGCATTTTCTTTTAATTGCCATAGCTTCAAAATTAGACTTAATTTTTTTTCAAGTTTATTTATTATTTTTGTAAAACAAACTTTAAATTTGTAAAGTAAATTTTTTAGTACATCATTTATATTTCTTGTAACTCCTCCAAAGATTTTCCACTGACGCCGTTTGAAACCATTCCTAAAACATCGATGTCAATGTTGCAATTGTCAACGTCGATGACGACTGCGTTTGGCTCTGTTCTCCTACTCGTGAAAGCATAGTGCATTTGTTCATTCGTTCGGTGGACGCCACCCGGTAAACTTGTGCTTCGTATTCGTGTGAAACTTCGGTCAGGTTCTGCCTTGCAATAAAATTAGGGAATTCTTCTAATTTCCACCAAAAGTAAAAAACAACGCGCTTCTTTGTTACTCTTCTAAGTGATTTTAAACTCTTTAACAAATAAAATGTCTGACAAACAAGAAAATGGAAGCTACAACGATGACGAGGTAAGAATTAATTTTATGGTTTTAAAAAGTACATCTGATTTTATCTAGAAAGCCTCTTACCTCTTTTTTTAATTGCCTACTCGGTATTTTATTAGAAAAATGTAACATATTGCAAAAATGTGTGTATGTATACCATGCGTCTTTGACTGAAAATCAAAATGGCTACCGCCTTTAAATGTGGCTGTACTTTCTAAAATTTAGGTTGATTTTCCCACATTTAATGTAAAGAATGCTACTCACAGCTATCTGCCCATGTATGCATACACATACAGTTCTTCCCGCACACAAAGTTCTTCAAGTTATTAACCCCGTTTTTTGGTTAATTTAATTTCGATGTGCTGCGTCATTTTTTGCAGTTTAATGTAGATGTGTGTGCGTTTAAATTTTTTCCTGCCCATACTTAATTTTCTTCATTTCTTCTCCATTTGCAGCCCATCTCCGAGCCCGAGCAACTGCGTAAATTGTTCATTGGCGGCCTTGACTACCGTACCACAGACGAAGGTTTGAAAGCCCATTTCGAAAAATGGGGCAACATTGTCGATGTTGTTGTAATGAAAGATCCCAAAACCAAGCGTTCTCGTGGTTTTGGTTTCATCACCTACTCGCATTCGTACATGATTGATAATGCCCAAAATGCCCGGCCCCACAAAATCGATGGCCGTACCGTTGAACCCAAACGTGCCGTACCACGCCAAGACATTGACAATCCCAATGCCGGTGCCACTGTCAAGAAATTGTTTGTTGGTGGCCTGCGTGAAGATCACGACGAAGAATGCTTGCGTGAATATTTCAAGAGCTACGGCAACATTTTGGGCATCAACATTGTTTCGGACAAGGAGACCGGCAAGAAACGCGGTTTCGCTTTTGTCGAATTTGACGACTATGATCCAGTGGACAAGATCATTTTGCAAAAGTCCCACACCATTAAGAACAAAAACCTTGATGTGAAGAAAGCCATAGCCAAACAAGATATGGACCGTCAAGGCGGCGGCGGTGGTGGCGGCAACCAGGGTGGTGGTCGTGGCGGTCCCCAAGGCGGCCGTGGTGGACGTAGCAATGATCGTGGTGGCAACCAAGGTGGCTGGGGAGGTAATCGCCAAAATGGTGGCAACTGGGGTGGCAATAACTTTGGTAACAGTGGTAACTTTGGCGGTGGTCAAGGTGGCGGCCCCGGAGGCTGGAATAGCCAGCCCGCTCCTTGGAATAACCAAGGAGGAGGTAATAACTGGAATGGCAACGATGCTGGATTTGGTGGACCACAAGCCAATGGTGGTGGCAGTGGCGGCTGGGGTAATAATGGCGGCGGCGGCAACTTTGGAAATGATTACCAACAAAGTTATGGAGGTGGTCCACAACGTAATAACTTTGGAAACAACAGACCGGCGCCATATGGCTTCAACAAGGGTAATATTTAATTTTTTCCCCTAAAAGATTCACAGCGAATCTAATTTCTGCCCTCTGTTTCAATATTTATATTTAGGTGGTAACCAAGGTGGCAATCAGGCTGGTGGTGGTGGTTTTGGTGGCAACAACTACAACAGTGGTGGTGGCCCCGGCGGTAATATGGGTGGCGGCGGTGGAAATAGAAGATACTAAGTTAAGGTAAGTTTTATGGGGGATGGTAATAGGGGATGAGGGTGAAAATCATCGTTGTTGTTTAAATGTGATGTCCAGAAGGCTTATAACAAAGAAATTGAAATGTTTTAAAAGGCAGCCTTTGATGCATGCCTCGGATATAAATAATTAAATTGTTGATAACAAAGAAAATGTATTTTTAGCTCATTCCAAATACGTTTTAAATACATTTTCTTGTTTGGATCAAATATGCTTTGCGCGGAATTGGTAGCGGTTCACTCAGATTCTTTCGAATCGGATTTTATAGAGGAAGGTTGGCCATTGATTTCAAATGAGCAACTTTTTGAGCTTCAAATTAACCCGGCTCTTAGACTTATCATTTCCTTGAACATCACATTTAATTTAAATCGTTTATGTAAACAAAAAAAAACTTTGATCTTTTATACATTATCAGCGCTCTGTTGTACCAGACAAATATTGCAGGTCTGTCTGTCTCCATAACGCTGAAAACCTTTTTAATTTTTGTTTCGTTTTGAAGCTATACTGATGTATAAATATTTTTTCTCTGTAAATAGGTATAATATAGCAAAAACAAAAACTATCAAGCAAAAACAGAAAGAGGCAGGCAGGCAGGAAATACAAGGCAAGGATAAACAAACAAGAACAAGAGGATGAAGGAAGAATTTAAGAAACACTAGGCTCTCAAACATACATGCAAGGCAGACAAACTGACAGGCAGGCAGACAGGCATATATCTAAATTATAGCAGATACTAAGTAAGCCCAAGTTGTTGTAATCATCATCTCCAATGAGATGTGTTACTATAATATATACAAAACTGTGTATGTGGTCAGCCTGTGTAGTATTGAGATTGTTGCAGTTGAGAAAAGAAAGAAAGAAAGAAAACGAAAGCCCTCGTATACTATCTATATATTAACATCTTCCCTTACACGGAGATTGTGATCTCCGGACGTCGCATCTTGTTCCTTTTATTACCCAGCTTTCTGTAGGCTAGCAAGCATTGTCTCTTTACACACATAATAAGAATTATTTATAACAGAAAATAATTGACACTCCTCCTCCTATATATATGCATTAAAACTTGTGTGACAACTAAGATTTAAAGAATTTACTGTTGTGCCCCCAAAAAATGAAAACACCACCACAAGTACATTTATATATAATTCGTAGTTTAGTTGTAGTAATATGTATTATTTTATATTTCAACTTCACAACAACAACAAATATAACTAGCATTCATTTTACAAAAGATAAAGCTAAGAGGTTTCTCTATATTTGAGAAATCCTAGGAAGAATAATGTTTTAACACTTCAAACCACCAATTGTGATATGTTTCTGGATATAAAAATGGCAAAGATACAAGATTAAGATGTGGAAATTAAGTAACATTTCATGCAGCATTAAGCAGTAAGACAGTATATATCGGTCTTGAACAAACATCTGCATTTTAATCTCAAACACATTTTTTATACCCAAAAACTTATCGCAAATTTTTCATCTAGTTCCAATTACCTATTTTTTTTAATTCTACATAAATTGGTATTTGAATAGTCTACTGTCTTTAAGGATTTTTTCATGTGAAAATATAAAAGAAAATCTATACCAAAACTATTTTTAGATTTAAGAATTTTCAATATACTTAACGGAGAAAAAAGGAATGATAAGTGGATGAAGAGTAGAAGACAGCAGCCAACCCCTTTTTGTGTAAAATTTAACAACTTCATAGACTAGTTCTTTTTGACGTATATTTTGGTTGTCCTTAAAGTAAACAACAATGCAGGTCAGCAGCAGCAGTGAAACTTAATTTGAGACTGTCATTTTTTTAGTTTTATTAAAAAAAATCTAAGCAAACAATAACTAGTTGATGATGGACTGATGTGTGATGGTCACATTTTTTTGTGTATTTCGGAAAATGTCAAGAAAGGCTTCTTTCCGTAACTACAAGAGGTAAAGGAGTTTCTTTTATAGCATTTAAGTAAGATCTTTAGCAAATAAGGAGAGAAAACTCAAAATAAAAATTAAAAAAAAAAAACAACAATTCAAGACAAAAATAAAACAAACAACAAAATGTAGGACTTATTTGTTCGATGTGCGTTTTAGTGCATGTATATTTCTAAAAGTAAATAATGTGTAGTTGTGAGTAAACAAGATGAAAATTTTGTATTTCCAAACAAATATTTGGATATATTTTAAAATCTAGAATGTCAGCGTTTACTGAATGCATCAAAAATAGTACGAATTGCAGCTAATATTGAAACAATTGAAGAAAGAAAATGGCTATTGGTGGCAAAATTTAAGATGTGAGATGAAATTCTTAGATGACACCATAGATATACCAAGATGAAGGCAATAATGTCGTCCATAGAAGGTTCTGCATAACAAAAAAAGAAGGAAAGGAGAAAGGACTTAAAAATCTCCCTTCATTTATTAGATTTTAAGAGCAAAATGTTCACTAACCATATTTTTGTAATATCTTTGTTTTGTTGCAAGACCAACGGGCCAACGTTTGCACCATCGACAAATTTGGGAGATGCACGTTGGGGCGGCAGTAATTAAATATTTTTTTTATTTTGTGATGATTTCATCTCATCTATGGCGGCGAACTCTGGAGTGTGGCGTTCTTGGTCGGTCCGTGTTATTCACTCGACAAACACCCAACCTGCCACGGTAAGTTGTGTTATTGTACAATGAGAATAATTTGAAATGTAAACACCTTAAAACAACATCAATAAAAATTTAAATAAAAAAATATATATTGTCTTGTGTTTTTATTTTTTAACCTATTCAATAAGAAGAATCCCAAATGCCGAATTAAAGTCGAATCTTTTGGAAAATATGGCAGAAGCCATACAAAAAGTGAGACCACATTGACAAATGTTTACAACGATTTGTTTCCCTATACGAACTAAGTGCAAGTCCGATTGTTGTCCTATTGTCCTATGCAATCAACGTTTAGCCTCAAGTTATGAAAAATGTCAAATTTCAAGCACTTCAAATAGAAACTTGGAAAAGGCTGCAAAACATCTAAAAAAACTAATGTGATATGCGGCTATACCATAAAGTCGGAGAACGATTTTTGTATAATCAAAAATATGTCCACTCAGAGATGGACGTCATATAGATGTATAAATAACCTTTTCAAACATTGGAAAGTGCTGCATTTAAAACAGCGCAAGTTGTATTTGTTAACCCTCGCCAATAAAGAGTTTATTGCGGAGATAAACTACCGGTATGTACATTTTCAGAATGGGATAAATGTTGTGCGAGAAGATTAAAAAAATAAAAATTTGAATAGAAACAAGTAAAAAAGCTGTAAATTCTGCCGGGGCGAATGGTGAATACCCGTCACCATTTGGAACGAATTCAACCATTAAAAAAAAAAAATAAATAAATAAAATCCGTTAAAAATTCTGTTAAATTCTTAAAAATACCAAATGTAGCCATTGTATTAGGTTCTATACGACGACGTGGACCTGCATAAGCAACTTTTGTCATAAAAAAATCGGTAAATAATGTCGCTAAAATCACGAAAATACCGAATATCGGGAGGTGGCGTTGTTTGGGTGCTATACGGAGGCGTGGACCTGCACGAAAAATTGTTTGTCAATGACTGTATTATCCATTACAAACTTCAAATACCAAATTTGAAACAATTCCTGTGAAAAATGTCGCTAAAATCATCTAAATTCGAATATCAGGAGGAAACGATATATGGGGACTATACGAAGGCGTGGACCTGCACGGATAATTTTTTGTCATAGGCTGTAGTATCCATTACGAACTACAAATACCAAATTTCAAACATTTCCGGTGAGTAATGTCGCTACAATCATCAAAATACCGAATATCGGGAGGCAACGTTATATGGAGGCTATAAGAAGATGTGGACCTACACAGAAAATTTTCTGTCATAGGCTGTAGTATCCATTACGAACTTAAAATACCAAGTTGCGATTTGAATAATATAGCTAAAATCATAAAAATACCGAATATCTGGAGGTGCCGTTATATGGGGGCTATACCAAAACGTGGACCTGCACAGACAATTTTCTGTGTTAGGCTATAGTATTCATTACGAACTTCAAATACCAAATTTAAAACAATTCCAGTGAATAATGTCGCTAAAATCGTCAAAATACCGAATATCAGGATGTGCCTTTATATGGGGACTATGCGAAGACGTGGACCTGCACAGACAATTTTCTGTCACAGGTTGTGGCACCCATTAGGAACTGCAAATACGAAATTTGAAACGGTTCCGGTGAAAAATGTCGCTAAAATTATTAAAATACCGAATATCGGGAGGTACCATTATATGGGGGCTATACCAAAACGCGGACCTGCACAGACACTTTTCTGTGTTAGGTTATAGTTTTCATTACGAACTTCAAATACCTAATTTGAAACAATTCCAGTGAATAATGTCGCTAAAATCGTCAAAATACCGAATATCAGGATGTGCCTTTATATGGGGACTATGCGAAGACGTGGACCTGCACAGACAATTTTCTGTCACAGGTTGTGGCACCCATTAGGAACTGCAAATACGAAATTTGAAACGATTCCGGTGAAAAATGTCGCTAAAATCATTAAAATACGGAATATTGGGAGGTGGCATTTGGGTGCTTTACGAAGACGTGGATCTGCACAATTTTCTGTCATAGGCTAAATTACCGAATATAGGGAGGTGGGGTTATATAGCACTTTCATTTCGTTCAGAAGCTAAAGTGATTTCAACAGATAGACGGACATCGTTAAATCGACATAGAATTTTATGCTGATCAAGTGGGGTCTAAAATGTATATTTCGAGTTGTTACAAACGGAATGACAAAGTTGATATACCCTTCATACTGTGGTGGAGGGTATAAAAATGGAATTTAACTTCATTTATATAGAAAAGTTCAAACTAGTAAAGTTAAATTATGCATAGTTAAATTGACAAGATTTCACAATAGTATCAAAAATATTCGACCGCTTCTCGGGCCAGTGAGGATATCGCCGAGGTACAAATATAAATGTCCGTTCTGACAGACCATCTATGGATTTTATTGATTATTTGAATTACAAATGGTTATTATAGTTTAAAGAGGTAACATTATCTTAAAAGTTCAGTCTTTTTGCATTTTTAGCTTTTTACTGTCCAAAGTTTATGGAGGATATTCGGTGCACTGACTTTTGTTGGTTTAACATATTTCTGCACGGAGGCATCTAATGCCCTTTCGAATGTTTCGGAGAGGTAGTGATGATTGTGAAGACCTATGAGAAGTTGTCCCTCTGACATCAGGTTAAAGCTAGTTTTAAATATTTCTTTCCCACATCTATCTTTTGCATATTTGTAGCATAATTTTAGGCGCTACACAGAACATTAAAACTGAAGAGAAACGTTTGCTAGAGTATGTTTAGCGTCTAAGCCCGTTATTTCTATGTAGCTATATGGCTGTGGTTATAAAAAGTGATAGTTTTATGGTACACATCAAATATACAATTTTTTATATCCTCCATCATAGTATTAAGGGTATATTAAGTTGGTCAGTCCGTTTGTAATACCTCGAAATATAAATTTTAGACCCCTCAAAGTTGATCTAGTCTTGTCCAGCATAAAATTCTATGTCGATATCACGATGACCGTCCGTCTATGGAAATCCCTTTAGCTTCCGAACGAATTGAGTAGGTTGATACAATTTTACTCAAATGTGTGTTTCGTCTGCAGCTCTTTTGGTATCGAAAATAAGGTATATAGGTCCACGTTTTGGTATTTTCCTGTAATTTAAAAAAAGTAATTTTTTTCGCACAGTCTTATAAAAGAAAAATGTCCGCATCTTTGCAAAGAAGACATTCTTAATTCATGGTTATTAAGCTACTGGGTGGGTAAAAAATTTTCCCTCACTTTTGCAAATCTCTTTCATTCACCTGACATTTTCTCACTAACCTGTACTCTGGGAATGGAATACTTTGTATGGAAAACCCAGACCCATTAGCGACTTATCTATGAGGCTGAAGTGGATTTGGTCCTGTAAACCATTTACCTCCTGTTTGTATATGTAAGTATCGATTAACATCATGTCTAGCTTAAATAGAGTTATTTTCAAATAGTTTCAAAATTATTTTTTTTTCAGTTGGTCTATCCCTTTGCGAATGCTGTGTGGCAATGATGGGGTTAGACAGACCTCTCTCTACACCTGTCAATCAAGCGTATGATTTGCTTCTTTAATTTCATCTTTTTTTTTTGGTTGAAATGAAATCAGATAAGTTATTTTCCGTTAACATCAATTAATTCATTTGAGTGTTGTTTAGGGGTTCGCACGTGATCGGAATTGAAATCGTCATATATATGTACAGAAAAAAAGAAGGCAGAACATATCTTATATCTGGTAACAGGAGAGTGAACTATCCAGCCAGTGGTAGTAGTCATCCGATTGAGAACAACAAATAAATTAAGAAGTTTTTTGTTTTCTTTGGAATTTTATGACATTTCTAAACAAAAAAAGAGTCGTAAAAGTTTTGTATAGAACTCTGTGAATCACATCTTAATGCAGAAGAGGAAGAAGAAGAAAAAGCAACACACACATACAGGAATGGTCTTTGCCCAAAGATTTTATGAAGAGGAACAGAGAAGGTGGATATTGAAGAATAACAATAATGTCGTTATTTGGATTAAATAACTTGCCATTTATTTTCCATATAAATAGTATTTTGAAAAGTGAATTCCTCTGAAGTAGTAAATCTTAAGTCGAGCCGTAAAGAAGAACAGCAGATTGAAACCATGAAAGTTTTGAACATCATTTTCGGTTTTGTAATTTTCGCAATGTGCCATGAATTCTGTGTGGGATTTTTAAATTTCGGACGACGTTATGGATTATATAGTGGACGTAGCAGTGGTGACGGCAATGGAAGTGGTGGTGGTGGTGGAAAACGGAAATTCCGCACTTACAATCAAATAGCTAAATATCATAGCGGTAATCCATATGTGAATATCCGCAAAAGACCTTTTCCTGCCCAGCCATTTGCTCCAATTGGTGGATAAAACAATAATAATTATTAGTAAATTTTAGAATCTGTGATGAAATTGATACTGAATAGATTTAAGATTGAAAACTGTATTTTTTTTTTAAATAAAATTATAGAAAATAACTAATAAGCCTTACCCCCTGGTAAACATTACCATCGTTCTCCACTAATAAACAAACGTTGTTTTTATAAAAACAACAATAAAGGGATAAAGCCTGACGATTTTGCAACAACAAAATACTACGGTATCCCGAACAAACAAGCCACACTGTTCTAAAATAACTAATATTCTGCTCTGTAAGGCAAATAAGTTAAGTTCTCGAACATAAAAAATCAAAATTTTTTATACCCTCCTCCATAGTATGGAAGGTATATTAAGTTTGCCATTCCGTTTGTAACACCTCGAAATTTACATTTTAGACCCCGCAAAGTATATATATTCTTGATCAGCATAAAATTCTATATCGATTTAACGATGACCCTCTGTGAAAAATCACTCTAGCTCCCAAATGACATGAAGTAGGTTGGTAAAATTTTACTCAAATGTATATTATGTCTGCAGGAATTTTGGTACCTCCCTATTTTCGTTATTTTAGACATTTAAGCGACATTATTCACCGGAATTGTTTCAAATTTGGTATTTGAAGTTCGAAATGGATGCTACAGCGTAAGACAGAAGATTGTCTTGCAGGTCCACGTCTTCGTATAGCCTCATAAAGGCACCTCCCGATATTCAGTATTTTGATGATTTTAGCGACATTATTCGCCGGAATTGTTTCAAATTTGGTATTCGAAGTTCGTAATGGATACTACAGCCTATGACAGAAAATTGTCTGTGCAGGTCCACGTCTTCGTATAGCCCCCATATAATGGTACCTTCCTATATTCGGTATTTTGATGATTTTAGCGGCATTATTCACCGGAATTGTTTCAAATTTGGTATTTGAAGTTCGCAAAGGATACTACAGCCGAAGACAGAAAGTTGTCTGTGCAGGTCCACGCCTTCGCATAGCCTTCATATAAAGGCAACTCCCGATGTTCCGTTTTTTGATGATTTTAGCTACATTATTCACCGGAATTGTTTCAAATTTGGTATTTGAAGGTCGTAATGGATACTACAGTCTATGACAGAAAATTGTCTGTGGAGATCCACGTCTTCGTATAGCCCCCATATAAAGCCACCTCCTGATATTCGGTATTTTGATGATTTTAGCGATATTATTCACCGGATTTGTTTCAAATTTGGTATTTGAAGTTCGTAATGGATACTACAGACTATGACAGAAAATTGTCTGTGCCTGTCCACGTTTTGGTATAGCCCCCATATAATGGTACCTCCCTATATTCGGTATTTTGATGATTTTAGCGATATTATTCACTGGATTTGTTTCAAATTTGGTATTTGAAGTTCGCAAAGGATACTACAGCCTAAGACAGAGAACTGTTTGTGCAGGTCCACGTCTTCGCATAGCCCCCATATAAAGGCACCTCCCGATTTTCGATATTTTGGATATTTAAGTGACATTATTCATCGGAATTGTTTCAAGTTTCGTATTTGAAGGTCGTAATGGCTACTACAGCCTATGACCTATAGGCAAGATATAGATTCTTAGTGTATTCTGGGACCCATAGTAGAATTTTATGACAAATAATTTGGCTATGATCACGTTTAAAGGCTTGCCCCTTTGATGTGTTAAAATTTTCGACCAAAATAATTTGGCGTGGTTTTTGGTCACAACTTGTGTTCCCAGTATATCGGAATTGTATAGTGCCCATATAAAGGTATCTCCAATATTCGGACGATTTTAGCCACTTTTTTCCACGAAATTGTTTTAAATTTGGGATTTAGAGTTTACAATGGGGTTGTACTTTCTAGGGAATAACAAAGTCCATATAGGTCCACGTTTTCCGGTAGCTTCCATATTATGGCGTCTCCCGATATTCGGTATTTTGATGCTGTAGCCACATTTTTCCACGAAATTGTTTTAAATTTGGGATTTAGAGTCAACAATGAATTCTACTCCCGCTGGCAAAATCATGTCTATATAGGACCATGTTTCCCATAGCTGCCATATAAAAGTATTCGGAACTCCGATAATTTTAACTAATTATACCTTACACCACAAGGTGGTCTGGGTATTATGTCTTTGTACATTTGTTTGTAAAAGGCAAAAGGAAAGGAGATAGAACTATAGTTCCTTTTTGATTATCTGCATAGAATCACATTCTGAGTAGATTTATGCATGTCCTTCCGTCCGTCCGCCTGTCCATGTATTTTTGTAAACAAAGTAAAGGTCGCCTTTATAGCCCGATCCAGATGAAATTTTGCACAAATCATTTGTTTGACCCAAGGACGAACCCCATTGAAATTGGAGATAATCGGTCAAAATTTAGATGCGGCTCCCATATATGTCTTCGTCCGATTTGTCGTTTATGGTGCACTAAACGTGTACTATTAGCCCAAATGGGATGGAATTTTTCACATACGTCCAAATTAAGCCTGGAAATAACTATGCCAAGTTTGGTCGAAATCGGTTTAGGAATAGCTATAGCTCCCAAATATATTGTTCATCCGATTTGTTATATTCGTCCTCTGCAGCAGTTATATGCACTCTGTAACAACGATTTTTGGGGAAATGTATCAAATACAGGTCAGAAATACCTTCGCCAAATTTTATCGTGATCGGTTCAGATTTGGATATAGCTCCAACATATATCTTTGTCCTATTTCAAGTTAACTGTGCACCAAATGGGTAATATTGGCCCAAATGAGATGGAATTCGGCACAAACGACCCAATTAAGCCTGGAAATAAGTGTGTCAAATTTGATCGACATCGGTTCAGATATAGCTATAGCTACCATATATATTGTTCATCCGAATTGGCATTTTAGTCCTCCGCGGCTGTAATATGCACTCTGTAACAACGATATTTGGGAAAATATGTCAAATACAGCTCAGAAATACCTTTTGCTAAATTTTATCAAGATCGGTTCAGATTTGGATATAACTCCCACCTATATCTTCGTCCGATTTGTCTTTTATTGTGTACCAAACATGTACTTTTAGCCCCAATGGGATGGAATGTTGCACTTACGACCGAATTAAGCCTGGAAATAAGTATGTCAAATTTGATCGAAATCGGTTCAGATATAGCTATAGCTCCCATACATATTGTTCATCCGACTTGTTATATTTGTCCTCCGCAACCATAATATGTACTCTATAACAATGATATTTGGCGAAACGTACCAAATACACCTCAGAAAATCCTTTGCCAAATTTTATCGGAATCGGTTCAGATTTGGAGATAGCTCCCATACATATCTTTATCCGATTTCAAGTTAAAAACGGTCCGCCCGACTTTATGTCTTTCCCAATAATTCAAAATATATTATTTATAAGATTTTACATCTTCTCATAACCCCCCATCCCCCATCCATTTTGGAGACTTGTTAAAATTGTAACATGAAGTCATGACTCTTACACATTGGGGTTTCGACCAAGGTATTATAAATAGGCATTGGTCTGCACAACCACAAACAATGATAAAACCAATTAGAAATCATTTTGCGCCGTTAACTATTCTCTTTGTTTCCAATGTCAACTTGACTTCAGTTCAGTTCGGTTCGATAATCGCGAAATAGTCAACAAGTTTGAACGGAGAGAACGGATCCAAAAGCAATGGATAATCTTAGGGGACAACGTATGTCCATGAAAAATGTATGTCCTGAAGAAATGGCAGAAATGGCCGAAATGTGGCGACAATCTCGCCTCATGGAGGAAATGATGGATAAACGGCGCTCACAACACATGGCCATGAGAAACTCGGTGATGATGGACGAAATAAGGCCACTCCAAAGGCAGGTGTCGCGCAAGGAGGCGGCGGCGCCATCACCGATGCCCGAAATAAATCACAAGAAACATAGCTGTACCGATGTCCATTGTCTGATTATATTTGTGTGCTTCATTGTGGCCTGGTTCTATATAGCTCACTTTGCCCTTAGCCAGGGTGATTTGAATCGGGTGGTGCTGCCAACCGATTCGAAAAATCGTAAATGTGGCATCGATTCGGGTGTGGTCAACAAACCGTATTTGTATTTTTTCGACTTGGACAAGTGTTTGGATGTGGAAACAGCTCTGGGGGGCTGTAAAACGAAACAGGTGTGTGTTGAACAGTGTCCTCAGCAGGCGTTTGTGTGGGGCGACCATGTGGCCGATAGCGAACTGGAGAATGCCAAAAACCTACTGATCTGTGATGATGATGTGGACAAAAAAGAATTGCGCACGCGCGCCCAAATTAATTCTGCAGTGGCCCAGGGTCATTGTAGCGCCTTGTATGTGAAAAGTACGGTGGTCTTCAATTACTGTATGCCCTTTTCCAGCCAGGATCTGTGCAACTTTCTGCCCGATTCGTTGAAAAATCGCAAACGGCGAAGTCTTCCGCCCCCATCTGAGGCATTGTCTTTGAATGATGTCTTCGATAGATACGATGAATTCAAGAGACGTACAGCCCAATTTTGTCGTCGCAATGATACCACTCCCGATGTAATGCTCAAGCAAAAAGTGGAACAGACCCATTCGAGTAGCACGAAGCTAATTGCCGCCATTATTGCGAAATTCGGCAGCAATGACAGTGTGGGAAATGAGCGTTTGGCCGAGGACATAAAAAAGGATTTGAAATCATCGTGGAAGGTTATCGCCATGGCATTTATCATTCATGTGACCTTGGCTTTGCTGTTCATTGCCCTGCTGCGCTATGTGGCCAGACCTTTGGTGTGGCTCTCCATTTTTGGAGTTTTCATTGGACTGGCACTTAGCCTGCTCTACAGCGTGAAACAGTACAGTTTCTATAGCCGATATCCCACAGTGCCGCAGCACAGTGTCAACCTAATGGCCAGCCTGGAGAACATTGTGCACAACAAGGATTTTTGGATGTGGGTATCGGTGTTGACGGGAGCGGTTTTCGTGATTATTCTGTTGGTGGTATTGGTGCTGCGCAAACGCATTGCCATTGCCATAGCCTTGATCAAGGAGGCCAGCAAGGCCATAACCTCAACCATAAGCTCCATATTTTTCCCCCTCTTTCCAGGCTTCCTCTATATTTTGGTGAGCATTTTAGCTGGGGTGGTGTTACTCTACCTCAGTTCGATTGGCAACAACTCGTTTCGGGTTTTCATGCAATTGGATGCCAACAACCCCTTGCCGGTGGAGAGCTGTGAATGCGATGGACCTGCCATGTCATATGAGCTAAATGGCAAATGCTTGCCCGATGTTTTTGAAGCCCACTGCCACATTTCCAACACCAACAGAAGCTGTGTGGAGACAGTTTGTCGTTTTGCGGAGATTGAGAAGACGCCCATGGTCCAGTGGTTCACTTATTTTTGTATCTTCACCTATTTTTGGGTGGTGTTTTTCATATCGGCCTATGGGGACATGGTGCTGGCCTGTACCTTTTCCATGTGGTATTGGACCTTTGATAAGAAGAACAATTTGGAAACGATGCCAGTGTTTAAGGCCATGGCCAAGACCACGCTATATCATTTGGGAACGTTGGCCTTTGGTTCGTTGGTTTTGGCCGTGTGTCGTATGATTCGCTACCTCCTGGACTTCCTGGAGAAACGTTTGAAAATGTACAACAACAAGCTGACCCAGGCCCTGTTGTGCTGCATGAAATGTTTCTTCTGGCTTTTGGAGAATTTCCTGCGTTTTCTCAATCGCAATGCTTACATCACATGTGCCATACACAGCACCAGTTTTTGTGCCAGTTCGCAAAAGGCCTTTGGCCTCATAACCCAAAATATCCTGCGAATGTATGCCATAGATAAGGTGTCCGATTTTCTGTTCTTTCTATCGAAAGTCCTGCTGACGGCGTGCACCTGTTTTGCCACCCATTTGGTTCTGACCACCTATCCACAAGTGTTTAATGTCAACTACCCATGGGTGCCGATCTTTTTTATTATCATTCTGGGCTATATAATGGCCGATGTTATATTCAGCACCTATAGCATGGCGGTGGATACGTTGTTCTTCTGCTTCCTGGAGGATAGCAATGAAAATGATGGATCTGCCGAGAAGCCCTACTATATGTCGAAGAATCTAAGCAAATTGCTGAACGAGAAGAATGCCCAGAAGAAGGTGAAGAAAATGAGAGGCGATTTTATAAGGCAATAAAAAAGAGTTATTTTGTTTTTAATCGATACGCATGTATTTAGAGATATGTTATAAATATTCAGAAAATAAAATATTCGGAATATAAATATTCAGAAATATACAAATATTGGATATTTTTCGATTTTCTTTGATTACTTACAAGAGCTTTCTCTTTCAACGTCTCCATATTTAAATCCTAGAAACCGAAAGTGACCTAAGTATCAAATTTCGGGACCATTTCGAGACTTTACGGACAATCATAGCCAAATCCACCTCCTTCTCTCAAAACTATATACCAACCGAGGCTTTGATATCAAGTTTAAGGATTTCAGATCTACCCCTTTGCCCTATACCAAATTTAGTATCGTTTAGTTCTTTTCGTACAGTTAAAGTACGCATTTTCATAACAATCTCCAAATATCTACCAACAGATACCAACAGCGACCTTAATATCAAATTTCAGGATTACGGCTCTTTAATTTCCCCTTTTGCACAATTTTAGTACAACTATAGTACGCATATCCAAAACCATTCCTTTCAACCACAGTGACATCCATATTACATTTCAGGATTTCAGCTCTATTCCTTCACCCAATACCAAATTTTAAACCAAAAACCTTAATATCAAATTTGAGGATTTTCCAACATCAAATGTTGTAACATTTAGTACTTTTCGTATAATTTTGGTAATCTATTGATAGATCGTTTCATATCTCAGTCCTAGACACCACCAGTGACATTTATATACAATTTCTGAATTACGGCTCTATTCCTTCACCTAATATCAAAATTTAGTACTATTTAGTACTTTTCGTACAATTATAGTACACATTTTCAAAACCACCTCTATCTCCCAATTACAGATACTAACACAGACCTAAATATCAAATTTAAGGATTCTAACACGATTCCGTCACCCAAAACCAAATATAGTACCAATCAGTACTTTTAGTACAATTACAGTGTGAGATGAAAAAAAAAACTGCAACCAACTTCAGACTGCTGTAATTTCTAAGCCACTGGTCCGACGGCAGTGACAGCTCATTATATTGTTTACAAGCGTATAAAAGCATTTCTGTAATAATTTTCCAGCATTTAAATGTGAATAAATCTTTTGTGTCTCGTACCATCGCTCGTTAACGTGATACTGGTAGCGTAGCCCGTCTTCAAGGAAGTGGAGAGAAGAAAACTGCCAAATCAGCAGAAATGGTTCGAAAAGTAAACGAGCGACTTGATCGAAATCCGCGTCGCAGTGGTCGAAAAATGGCACGTACGCTGAAATCATGTCGCAAAATTCCATTCGGCAAATATTGAAAAGTGGGCTCGGGGTTAGGGCCATTGTAATTCCAAAAAGTGCAAGAACATACACCGCAACAGAAAGAAAATAGTCTCAAAAGAGTTATAGGGTTGCATCGATTGGCCGAAAGTGGTGAACTGCCGAATTTGGTTTTCTCCGATGAGAAAACATTCGTTGTCCAGCAGTTCGTAAACAACAACAACAAAATGATCGTGTTTACTTGCCAAAGAGGTCAACTGAAAATGTGCACCTTCGGTTGGCCACCAAAACTCAAGTGCCGGCCATGGTGATGGTGTGGGCCGCCATAACAGCCGATGGTCGCACTCCGAATAAATGCCGACTATTATCGCGAAAATATTCTGGAGGGTGTATTAAAACCTTGGGCACGCAAACATTTTGGCCGCAGACCTTGGATATTCCAACAGGACTCAGCACCATCACACTCAGCACGCGCCACCCAAGAATGGTTACAAAATCAGGTTCCTCGCTTCTTTTCCAGCGTACAATGGCCACCAAAATCTCCGGATACCAATCCGTTTGACTATTGTGTCTGGAGTATTTTGGAAAGCAAGGTTGGCACTAAAAGATACAAGTGTCGATCAAGCGCTTCGCCGGGAATGGGTCTAAATATCGCAGAGCAAAATTCGGGCAGCATGTGACGGTTTTATTGGCCGTTTGAAGGTCAAATTCGTGCCAAAGGTGACCAATTCGAACAAATCTAAACTTATTCTAAAATTTGATGCTATTTCCGATATTTTTTGCTTTAATTCAATAAAATTAAAAAAAAAAAATAAATAAAAATTAAGGCGTTTGACTTTGTTATAGTTTTTTTTATCTGATCCTGTACAGTACATATTTCCGAACCACCTTCATATGTCCAGGCTACACATGAGCTCATACCAAATTTCTATTTGTTCAACCAATTTCAGAAATACTTCGAAATTCCAGCTCTATTCAATACCCTCCACCTAATATCAAATTTAGTACATTTCGTACAATTAAAGTACAAATTTGCAAAACCAACTCTCTATCTCAAGACATCGACAGAGACCTCAATATGAAACATCGAGATTTCAGCTTTATCCCATAAGTACGCATACACATAAGTACGTATTTCCAAAAGATCCCACAAAACACAATCATATATGCCAACAGTAATCGTAATTCCAACATTCAGGATTACAGCGCTGTGAACCAATAGCGCTGTATCCAAATTGCACCAATTTAAGTATCATTTACTATACATAAGTACGAATTTCCAAAACATTCTATATACCCCAATCCTACAAATTTCAGTATTCCAGCTCAAATCGAAATTGTATCAAATTTAGTACCATTTAGTTCTTTTCGTGCACTTAAATACAAATTTCGAAAATTTCCTCCATATCCCAATTCCACACTCCGCCAATAATGTTAATTTCAAATTTCAGGATTCTAGCTACATTCGATTCCGCCAAATTCAAATTGTACTAAATTTAGTTCCCTTTAGTATTTTTCGTACATACTTCCAAGACTACTTCTATGATACGAAATGGTACGAAATGTAGTACATGTTAGTACTTTTCGTACACTTATAGTGTAAATTTCCAGAAACCTTTTGGTATGTCTATTATACTTTCCATCAGTGACCCTTATTCCAAATTTAAGAGTTCCAGCTCAACTGCTTCCTCAAATACAAAGGATACCATATTTAGTACATTTTAATACTTTTCGTACCGTTCTAGTACGTATTTTTAAAAACCCTGCTTTGTCTGACCCTTTCGAAACTAGAGTAACCCTCAGCCAAATGTTTATGATTCTAACTTCAGCCGTTTCGTCTGGGCTTTATCGGTTAGGTCCTAGACGATCTTAACAAAGTATACGAGTATGTATTCTTGATCTGCGTAAAATTCTAAGACGATTTAGTCCTGTCCATCCGTCTGTTGTTATCACGGTAGAGTCAAAACGACTAAGGATAGGAAGCTAACATTTTGCATAGATCAGTCTTTTGTTTTCAGACAGGTCGAGTTCGAAGATGGCCTATATCGGTCCACGATATCGTATAGACACCATATAACGGAACCCCTCGGTGTTCGGTGTTTTGAAGCTTGTAGCCAAATTCTTCCATGGAATTGTCTGAGAATCCACACCAGGAGTTGCTTCTGAATACTTTACCCCCTGGAAGAGAATTGTCTATATAGGTCCACGATATCGTATATCCCCCATATAAACGGTACCTCCCTATATCCATGCTAGAAGTCCTTTCAAGGCATTTTACTCCCTGGAAGAGAAATGTTTACCTATAGTAACCGATAATGTATAGCTCACATACAACGGTACCTTCCAATGTTCGATATTTTGACAATTTTAGGGAGTTTATTCAAATTTCGTATTTACAATTCGTAATGGATACTACAGCCTATGACAGAAAATTGTCTATGCAGGTCCACGTCGTCGTATAAGCTCTAATACAACGGTTATCTTCCGATATTCGGTATTTTAATTATTTTAGCGACATTATTAACCGAAATTGTTTCAAATTTGGTTTTTGAAGTTCGTAATAGATGCTACAGCCTATGACAGAAAATTGTCTCTGCAGGTCCACGTCTTCGTATAGTCCCCAACATATAACGGCACCTCGCGATATTCGGTATTTTGACAATTTTAGCTGCAGTTTTCAATGGAATTTTTCTAAAAATCCATGCTAAAAGTTTTTTCTAGGCTCTTTACCCCTTGGAAGAGTAATGTCTATATAGGTCCACGATATCGTAAAGCCCACATACAACGGTACCCCGGATATTTGATATTTGGACGATTTTAGGGACATTATTCACCGGAGTTATTTCAAATATCGTATTTAGAATTCGTAATGGGAGCTACAGTCTATGACAGAAAATTGTCTATGCAGGTCTAGGTCTTCATATAGCCCCCATATAACGATACCTCCCAATATTCGGCATTTTGATGATTTTAGCAGCAGTTTTCAATGGAATTGTCTAGAAATCCATACTAGAAGATCTTTCTAAAAACTTGACCACCTGGAAAAGAAATGTCTAAATACATACAACGGAAAATTGTCTATGGAGGTCCAGGTATTCGTATAGGTCCCACCAGTATCTCCTATATTCGATATACAAACACCGAAATTGTTTGAAATTTCGTATTAGAAGTTCCTAATAGGTACTACAGCCTGTGACAGAAAATTTTCTATGCAGGTCCAGGCTATGGTATAGCCCCCATATAATGATACCTCCCCATATTCGGTATTTCGATGATTTTGGCTAAATTTTTCACCGTTTTTTTTTCAAGTTTCGTGTTTGAATATTGTAATGGATTATGACAAAAGTTGCCTATGCAGGTCTACGTCGTCGTATAGACCCTAATACAAGGGTTACCTCCCGATTTTCGATATTTCGGTTATTTTAGCGACATTATTAATCGAAATTGTTTCAAATTTGGTATTTGAAGTTCGTAATGGATGCTACAGCCTATGACAAAAAATTGTCTCTGCAGGTCCACGTCTTCGTATGGCCTCCAACATATAACGACACCTCCCTATATTCGGCATTTTGACGATTCTAGCAACATTTTTCATTGGAATTGTTTCAAAATTCGTATTTAGGGTTCGTAATGGGAACTACAGTCTATGACGGAAAATTATCTATGTAGGTTCGGGTCTTCGTATAGGCCCCATATATCAGTATATCCTTATATTCGGTATTTTTACGATTTTAGGTACAATATTCACCGGACTTGTTTGAAATTTCGTATTTGAAGGTCCTAATAGCTACTACAGCCTGTGACAAAAAATTGTCTATACAGGTCCAGGTCTTCGTATAGCCCCGATATAACGTTGCCTCTCTATATTCGGTATTTTGACGATTTTAACGACAATATTCACCGATTTTTTTCAATTTTCCTGTTTGAATATTGCAATGGCTTATGACAAAAATTGCCTATGCAGGTCTACGTCTGTACATACCCCATATATTCGGATACCATATATTCGGATTTAGATTTTAACAGAATTTTTAACGGATTTTAATTTTTTGAAAATTTCCAAATTCGTTCCAAATGGTGGAGGGTATTCAAAGCTCGGTCCCGCCGAACTTACTGTTTTTTATTGTTTCTATATAAATATGTCAAAATTGTTGTTAGCACCTAAAGGTATGTTAGAAAATGTTTAATAATAAAATGTAAAAAAAGCCTCTTTGAATATGACTCTCTAACATGATATGTAATCTGGTCTTATATTTCTAGTACCGATTTTAAAAAAACTCATGATAACTTTATAAAATATTTTTTTGTATTTACATCATATGTACTTGAATACATATGTAAATATTTGAACACATTCTTAAAAAATTCTTAATTTGAATTATGCACACAATTCTGTTTAACGCCTCGGATCAATGTCCATTGAAGGTTTCTCCTCTGGTATATGAACATATAGCGATGAATCCGGTGTTATTATTACGCCCTTCCTTAGTTTGCGTCGGAGTTTTGGTGTGGCATCGGGGGTCTTTGGCAGAATTGGTCGATTTGGTGGTAAGCGTAATTCAGTTATGGAAACCAACGGTACCATGGGTCCACTCGGATACATGGGCCTCATGTAGGGATTTTCCATTACTGGCTCTTCTGGCATATTGTGCGATGGTAGCGCCGCCTGAACTGGTGCTGGGGGATAATAGGAAGGTATGCCATAATAACTACCATGCGATGGCAAATATTGATTATTCGGTTGAGAATATGGATAATAGCCACCCATTTGATAGGGCAGTTGATGCTGCTGCCATCCTGGTGCCGGTTGTGGTGGCGGTACATATTGATAATTTTCCGGTGTATAATGATATGTTTGTGCTGGCGGCGTATCGATGCCAATATTCAAGGCAATGGGACCAAATTGTTGTCCATATAATTCATCTTCACATTGGGCGCCACTATTCCTTACATTCAATATTGAACTCAATAGTTGACCAACATCAATGGGTAGATTTATTTTCACATCAGTCGCAGCAACAACGGGCAAATGTAATTTGGAAAAACCATGCTGCGGCCACAGTACTAAAAAGAGGACAAAAATCATCAATTCCGACTTTTTGACACGCATTATCTCGTTTCTAATTGTTTGTATAGGTATTTTTAGTTGTTCTAAAAAAAAAACCCAAAAACAACGAAGAAAACAAATCACGCTACCGAACACTTCTTAAGCGTTTGACATCTCTTTTAGAACTGCATCTTTTCAGCGTGTGAGCATTTTCAGCAGCAGCATCTTAGGAAGTATATGCAAGATAATAATTGTGGGAACCACAACATCAAATATTCAGTTATGAATTCAGCTGAACTGGCTGAATGGATAATGATAAGGTAAAGAAGCCCAGGCAGCCTGCTTTCTCATCAACAACATGAAGAGTGTTGTAGCATAAATCGACAATGGCAAGATGTCTGTATGTCTCTCAGTACATTCTCTCCTCCGGGTATTTCTTTTTTCATGAGTCAAGCTAAGAAAACTGAGTAATAATTAGACTGCCCAACAAGGCAGTGTAATGATATTAGGTGTGTACGTAAACTTTTTCAGTTAAATTTACTCCATATTCTGTAACTTGGGAATATCCTCTCTCACGTACAAATATTGCAAAAAAATCTTATGGGAGAACATTCAGTAACGAAATACAGCAAGACAAGGAAAATAGTCGGTTTGACGACAGATTTATACCTCCCAGCCTTGAGTTACGATTATTAAAACTGTTGACCCTTTATGGGGGAGGTTCCGAAGCAGTTGGCCAATATTGGTCAATTCGTATCTGACCTAAGACTGATATAAATATTACAAAGTGGCAGATTTTGACCATATCGTCTACTTCCTATACTTTATACGAGATTTGCGCACATTTTTGGAAAATGTGGAAATATGCGTGAGGTAACAGCTAACATACTTCATCCAATATATAAAAATATAGCTATTTGCAGAATTTGAAGGAAATCGATTATTTTTATCCAAATTTATGCGAAATCATAATTTCCGATAAATTACATATTAATATCAGATTTCTGGTTAAGAGTAATATTTCGATATAGCAAGTTGTAAAGAATCTCTAACTTGTTTCGCAAGTTATGACACATATAAGTATTGCAAATTTGGACCCTTTGTGGGTGGGGTACCAAAAGGGGTTCACAGATACATATCATCTTCACAACAGATCTGGTGTAAAATTTGAAGCGAGTTGGATGCTTATTTCGCTTTCTTTGAGCGTTTTGTTTTTTTTTTTTAACAATCCTGAACCATTTGTGGGGGAGGTACCAGATGGAATGGTCCGATCTCTGCCATCTTTATAACAGATGTTGTGTTGATGAAAATATTGCGATGTACCAAGTCTGAATGGAATCGGATGTTAATTTCGCAATTTATGTGCTTTTTGGGTATTCAAAATTTTGAACCTATGTGGGGGAGGTACCAGGAGGATCTTCCGATCTTCACACCAGACCTTCTCTTAGTAGAAATAATGGGATGTGTGAAATACGAAGAGAACCGAATGCTTATTTCGGATTTTATAATCGTTTTTGTTATTCAAAACGTTGACCCTTTGTGGGGGAGGTACCAGAAGGAATGGTGAAATCTTTTTTTATAAAAAATCTTGTGTTGATAGAATATTGAGATATAGATATTGAGATGTGCGAAGTCTAAATGGAATCGGAAGTGAATTTCATGTTTTGTGAGCTTCATGAATATTTAAAATGTTGACCCTATGTGGGGCAGGTACCAGAAGGAGTGGACCGATATACTTTATCTTCACAGCAGATCTTGTGTTAGTAGAAATAATGAGACGTGTGAAATATAAAGAGAACCGGATGCTTATTTCGGATTATAAAATCGATTATGTTATTCAAAATTTTGACCCTTTGTGTGGGAGCTACCAGAAGGAGCGCACCGATATATTCCACCTTCACACCAGACCTTGGGTTAATAAAAATATTGTGATGCTTGTAATTTGAAGATAAAGTCGGACACTTACATCACATTTTAAAAGATTTAAAAAATATTGACCCTTTGTGGGGGGGAGGTACTTGATGGAGTGGACCGATATTGTCCATTCTCGCACCTGACCTAGCACTTATGCAAATATTTGGATTTGTAAAGTTGGAACAAAATCGGATTATTTTATCTTCTTCTGTGCAGTAAATTATTTTCTTTGAAAATTTTGACATTTTGTGGGGGAGTTACCAGAAGGAGTGTACCGATATTGCCCATCTTCGAACTCGATCTAAGTTTGACAATAATATTACGATGTACCAAGTTTGTACCAAATCGGATACTCCCTTCGAGAGTTATCATGCGCACCTGCCAGTCAGACAGACGGACATAGCTAGATCGACTTCAAATGTCCCGAAACGGATTTGGTCCAAAGGGACCTAGGGACGAAAACAGTTATTACGATGAGGTACATTTTGGCCACATCAAATGATATATATACTCTGTCTAGCCATACGGCTGAGGGTATAAAATGCCACTCTACATATGACTCTAACATGATATGTAATCGGGCCTTAAGTTTCTATTACCGATTTTTATAAACACGTGATAACTTTATAGCATATTTTTTTTGTATTTACACTTTATGTTCTGAATACATATGTATCTACTTTAACATATAAAAACTCCTTAGCAATTATACATCGCAAAATTCACTTTAACGCCTCGGATCAATGTCCATTGAAGGTTTCTCCTCTGGTATATGAACATATAGCGATGAATCCGGTGTAATTATAGTACCCTTCCTTAGTTTTCGTTTGTGTTTTGGAATGACATCGGGTGTCTTTGGTAGAATTGGCCGATTGGGTAGTAAGGGTAATTCAGTAATGGGAACCAACGGCATCATGGGTCCACTTGGATACATGGGCCTCATGTAGGGATTTTCCATTGCTGGCTGTTGTGGCATATTGTGCGATGGTTGAACTGGTGCTGGGGGATAATAGGATGGCATGCCATAATAACTACCCTGCGATGGCAAATATTGATTATTCGGTTGAGAATATGGATAATAGCCACCCATTTGATAGGGCAGGTGATGCTGCTGCCATCCTGGTGCCGGTTGTGGTGGCGGGACATATTGATAATTTTCCGGTGTATATTGATATGTTTGTGCGGGCGGCGAATCGATTCCAATATTCAAGGCAAAGGGACCAAATTGACGTTTATATAGTTCACCTTGACGTTGGGCGCCACTATTTTTTACATTCAATATTGAACCCAATAGTTGGCCAACACCATTGGGAAGATTCAGTTTCACTTCAGTCGCAGCGATAACGGGTAAATGTAGTTTTGACCAAGCATGCTGTGGCCGCAGTACTAAAAAGAGGACAAAAATCATCAATTCCGACTTTTTGACACGCATTATCTCGTTTTGTAATTGTTTGTATACGTATTTTTAGTTGCTCCAAAACAGCAAAGAAAACAAATCACGCTACCGAACACTTCTTAAGCGTTTGACATCTCTTTTAGAACTGCATCTTTCCAGCGTGTGAGCATTTTCAGCAGCAGCAGCAGCATCTTTGGTGGGAACTCCATCATGAAATAGTTATGAATTGAAGAGGCAAAGCCAAGCAACTGGATGGATGGATGGATGATAAGGTAAAGAACATCAGGCAGCCTACTTTCTCATCAACAACAACAACAAGAACTGGGTGAAGAGATCTTAAAGTGTGGTGTAGCATGAATCGACAATGAAGAGATGTCCGTCTGCCTCTCAGTACATTCTCTCCTGCGGCTATTTCTTTTCTTCATGAGTCAAGCAAAGAAAACTGAATAATAATTGGACTGCCCAACAAGGCAGTGTAATGACATTAGGTGTGTACGTTAACTTTTCCAGTTAAATTTACTCCGTATTCTGTAACTTGGGAATTTTCTCTCCAACAGACAAATGTTGGAAAAAAATCTTATCGGAGGACATTCAGTAACGAAACACAGCAAGACAAGTAAAATAGTATCAGTCGGTTTTGCCAACAGATTTATACCCCCAGCCCTTAGTTATGATTATTCAAACTGTTGACCCTTCATGGGGGAGGTTCCGAAGCAGTAGACCAATACTGACCAATTCGTATCTGACCTAAGACTGAAATAAATATTAAAAAGTGACAGATTTGGACAATATCGTCTACTTCCTATACTTTATAGGAGATATGTGCAAATTTTTAAAAATGTGGAAATATGCGTGAGGTAACAGGTACCATACTTCATCTAATACAGATAAAAATATAGCTATGTGCAGAATTTGAAGGAAATCGATTATTTTTATCCAAATTTATGCGAAATCATAAATTCCGATAAATTACATATTCAGATCAGACTTCTGGTTAAGAGTAATATTTCGATATAGCAAGTTTGTAAAGAAACTCTGACTTGTTTCGCAAGTTATGACACATTTCAGTATTGGAAATTGTGACCCTTTGTGGGTGAGATACCAGAGGGGGTTCGCAAATACATATCACCTTCACAACAGATCTTGTGTAAAATTTGAAGCGAATTGGATGCTTATTTCGCTTTCTTAAGTTTTTTGTTTTTTTCAACAATCTTGAACCCTTCGTGGGGGAGGTACCAGAAGGAATGGTCCGATCTCTACCATCTTTATAACAGATCTTATGTTGATGAAAATATTGCGATGTATCAAGTCTGAATGGAATCGGATGTTACTTTCGTGTTTTATGTGCTTCTTGGATATTCAAAATATTGACCGTTTGTGGGGGAGGTACCAGAAGGAGTGGACCGTTACATCACATCTTCACACCAGACCTTGGGTCAAGAGAAATATTTTGATGTGTGTAATTTAAAGAGAACCGGATGCTTATTTCGGATATTATAATCGTTTTTGTTATTCAAAACTTTGACCCTTTGTGGGGGAGGTTCCATCTTTATAACAGATCTTTTGTTGATCGAAATGCCGATGTGCCAAGTCTGAATGCAATCGGATAAGAATTTCATGTTTTATGAGCTTCATGGATATTCACAATTCTGACCCTTTGTGGGAGAGGTACCAGGAGGAGTGGACCGATATATCCCATCTTCACACCAGACCTTCTCTTAGTAGAAATAATGGAATGTATGAAATATAAAGAGAATCGGATGCTTATTTCGGATTTTATAATCATTTTTGTTATTCAAAACTTTGACACTTTATGGGGGAGGTACCAGAAGGAATGGTCCGATCCCTTCCATCTTTATAGCATATCTTGTGTTGATAGAAATATTGCTTTGCACCAAGTCTGAATGCAATCGGATGTTAATTTCACGTTTTATTAGCTTCATGGATATTCAAAATTTTGACCCTTTGTGGGGGGAGGTACCATAAGCAGTGGACCGATATATACCATCTTCACACCAGACCTTGTCTTAGTAGAAATAATGGGATGTGTGTAATATGAAGAGAAGCGGATGCTTATTTCGCATTTTATAATCAATTTTGTTATTCAAAATTTTGACCCTTTGTGGAGGAGGTACCAGAAGGAATGGTCCGATCCCTTTCATCTTTATAACTGATCTTGTGTTGATAGAAATATTGAGATGTACGAAGTCTAAATGGAATCGGATGTTAATTTCGCGTTTTATGAGCTTCATGGATATTCAAATCTTGACCCTTTGTGGGGGGAGGTACCAGAAGGAGTGCACAAATATATTCCTCCTTCACATCAGACCTTGGGTTAATAAAAATATTGTAATTTTTGTAATTTGAAGAGTATCGGACATTTTCACATTTTATAAGGGTTATAATTAATAAAAATGTTGACCCTTTGTGGGGGAGGTACTCGATAGAGTGGACCGATTTTGTCCATTTTTGCACCTGCCCTAGAACTGATGGAAATATTAGGATGTGCAAAGTTGTAACAAAATCGGATTATCTTTTCTCCTTTTGCGCAGTAAATTATTTTCTTTGAAAATGTTGACATTTTGTGGGGGAGGTACCAGAAGGATTGGAGCGATTATGCCCATCTTCGAACTCCATCTAAGTTTGACAATAATATTACGATGGACTAAGTTTGGACCAAAACGGATACACCCTTCGAGAGTTGTCGTGTGCACAAGTCAGCCAGACAGATAGTTGGACGGACATCGTTAGATCGACACCAAATGTCCTGAAACGGATTTGGTCCAAAGAGACCTAGGGTCTAAAACTGCTATTTTCATGAGGCACGTTTTGGTCGTATCAAATGATATATACCCTCTCTAGCCATTTCGCTGAGGGTATAAAAAAATCATGAAAAAAAATAATGAGAAAAATGGAAATATTTGAAAATCCCATAGTTTCCTTGTAAAAGTAGTTCGGATTTTTTTTTTGGAATTTTCAAACTGGAATTTTACTAAATATAAACCTAGGCTATTTATAATTTGTTTAGATTTTGAATTTAATAGGAAAAATTCAATTATGGTATTACCCACATTACAAAACGCGGATGATGCTGAACTGATTAGAACTTTAACCACATTTCTAAAAAAATAGCAACAATTTAAATACGTTTGTTTTTATTTAAGAGATTAGTGTTCAAAACCCCAAAGAATCGGTGTCATCGCAACAGAATTACATCGAGATTTGAGATGATTAAACTATTTATGGCGCACGATGAAATTGTTGTTGTCGTTGTTCTTGTCACACTGCTTGAAAAGTGAAATTTCGCAATGTCTCTTCCTTGTCATCTTTTTTTGAAATAAATGAGAATTGAATTCTGAGAAATTAAAAAATTGAAAAAAAAAACTCAAATTGATAACCCCCAAGGCAATTTGAATTTTGCGGTTCACAATCAGTTCTCGTATTCGGTTAATAAGTTTTTGTGGAATTAGTAGTATTTTCCTAGTCATTGGGTGAGGGTCAATTGGGAATTTCGGAAATGTGTGGAAAACGTGTTACTCTCTTGTTATTCGTAGTTTTTGCGGGTCTACTATTGAGCTCGGCATATGCGGGGAGCTATACAAGTGAGGAGACCGATGAAAAGACGAAATCATTGTATAGTGCCGTAACCTCGATACTGGGCACCAGCGATACAAGTAAACATCATCATAAACATACCTATGATGGAGGACCCGCGCCCTGCTCTAATGGTGTTGGTTGCCCAGTAAATGTTCCTGGATTTGTACAACCTGGAGCAGCTCTTCCTCCTCCTCCCTGCTCAAATGGTGGGGGTTGTTCTGTAAATGTTCCTGGATTTGTACAACCTGGATCAGCTCCTCCTCCTCCTGCTTCTTCCTGTTCCGCTGCTGGTGGCTGTCCTCCTTTAACGAAAACTACAACATATGGTAATGGCATAGTTTATCCCTCACCAAGTCCAAATGTAATTCATGGTGCAGTCCAACCAGCTACCGGCGTTCCTGCAGCCAATGGCCACTACACTTATGGTAATTATTGTCAAACATCAAGCGCTGACATTGAGATTTAACAAATTTTGAATTACAGGTCATGGTACACCTGCTCAACCCCCAAAACCGGCAGGTGGGGCTGCATATGGAAGCTATGCTTATGGTGGTTATCCACAAGCCACGGGACCTGTTGCTCCAGCCCCAATTGCTGGACCGCCAGCACAACCACAACCAGCTTATGGCTATAGTGGTTATGGCCCAGTGCCAGCCGGTTATGTTGCTCCACCACAAGGTGGTAGTGGTGCTTATGGTTATCACCAACCTGCCGCCGGTCATCCTGGACATTATGGCTATCAGGGAGATCGGGGTTATAGCGTCTACGACCATTCTTTAAAACTGAACTCTGAATACACCGAAGTGGGCACTCATAATGGTCCCCTGCAGCGGGCCAATGGCGGTTATGGTTATGGCAGCGGATTTGGTGGTTACAATGGCTTGTTTAATAGACCAGGATTTTAAAAATAAAAGTTAGTAACTTTCAAAATTTGGGTAATTTAAATAAAGGTTCTGGGTCCTAACATAAGAATTTGGTAGATTTTTATAGAAAGCTTGGTAATGACTTTCCAAAATATTGGCAAAAGATCATCAAAAGAGACCTCATGGAAGAACTCCAAACGATTTTGCGCCACTGACGGGTCAAGAAAGAGGATCGTGTACCACTATATTTGGATTGAAGAGCCAAACAATTGGCGCCCCCAGGTGTTGGATAGGAGGGGAAGGTGAATGGTATAAGGCGATTTTTTAAGTGCATAGCTGAGTTTTCAAACAAAAAAAGTGTGATATATGGAGGTGGTTTTCAAAAAATGTACTAAGCGTGCGAACTGTACTAAATGGTACTAAATTTAAAAAAAGTTTGGTTTAGGGTCGACGGATAAAGCTGGAGTATTTGAAATCTTGTGTTGGAGCTTCTGTTGGTGGTGGGTTTGTGGTAGAGTTGATTTTGGAAATGTGTACTACAAGTGCACGAAAAGTACTTAATAGTACTATATTTGGTACAATTTGGTATTGGGTTAGAGATAGTGCTTGCAATTTGAATTTTGGTATGAGGATCGCTGTTCATGTGTAGCCTGGGCATTTGGAAGCTGTGGCGGAAATGTGTACCATTTTGGATTTGTGTACTACAATTGTACAAAAAGTACTAAATTGTACTAATTTTTGTATTGGGTGAAAGGATAGGGCTGGAATCCCCAAATCTGATATTTATTTCTCTTTCGATATTCGGAGGTAAGTTATGGAGGTGGTTTTAGAAGTGTGTACAAAAATTATACGAAAAGTACTAAATAGTACTAAACTTGGTATGGGGTGAAGGAATAGAGCTGAAATCCCGGAATTTGATATAAATGTTACTGTTGGTGTCTGTGGTTGAGATCTGGATGTGGTTTTGGAATGCTGTACTAAATGGGCTATTGGGTGAAGGAAAGAGCTGGTATTCCGAAATTTGATATTAAGGTCGGTATCTAGAATTGAGATATGGAGTTGGGTTTGGAAATGTTTACTAGAATTCTTCGAAAAGAATTAAGTGGTACCAAATTTGGTATTGGTTGAAGGTATAGGGCTGAAATCTTCAAATTTGATACTGAGGTCTCTGTTGGTGTCTGTGGTTGAGATATGGAGGTGGTTTTGAAAATGTGTACTATAATTGTTAGAAAAGTACCAAATGGTAAACAACTTGGTATAGACTGAAGGGATACGGCTGGAATCTTCAAATTTAATCCTCAAATTTGATATTGAGGCCTCTGTTGGTATCTGCGATTGAAATATTGAGGTGGTTTTAGAAATATGTACTATAATTGTACTAGTATTTAAGTACTAAATTTGGTATTGTTGGTGTCCTTGGTTGAGATATAGAATTGGTTCTGGAAATTTGTCCCATATATGTACGGAAAGAACTAAATGGTACTAAACATAGTATGGAGTGAAGGAATAGAGCTTGAATCCCAAAATTTGATATTGAGGTATCTGTTGGTATCTAAAAGTGATACATGGAGATGGGTTTGGAAATGTGTACCATAATTGTACGAAAAAAGTACCAAATGTTACTAAATATTGTATATTCGTATTGGTGGTATTTGGTGTGGAGATCTGGTGATGGTCTTGCAAATGCCTACTACAATTGTCTGAAAAGTACTAAATTATGCTAATTTTGGATTACTGTTGGTGTCTAGGATGGAGAGATATAGATTGTTTCGGATATGCGCACTAAATGTTACTCAATTTGGTAGTGGATGAAGGCATAGAGCTGAAATCCTGAAATTCCGTATGGATGTCACTGTTGGTTAACATATGGAGACGTTGAAATAATTTTGAACAGAAAAAATGGCTGTTGGTCCATTGTGCAATTGTTTGACTTTTATCCTCCTCGTTAAATTTCGAAATAAAATATTTTTAAGACTTTTTCATGTAAGGGTGAATATTTTCCTATTATTCTTTCTGAAAAAAGAAAAAACTTGAAAGTCTGAATATTCAGTACGGTGTATGAAATTTTCATTTCAAAAGATTTGTCAATTTGAATAAAATTTAGCATTTTGAGTACTAAAAAGGCCTAACACGAACTGTTGGAACGAATTAAAATTTTAAGGTGGACTTTTCACTAACGAAGTTGTTGGCTAGTTGAAACTATTTTGTTTCCAATGGAAATGAAAATCTGACCGAAAATTTTAAAATATGGCGTAAAGTCATGTATCAAAAACTAGAGCTTTTTACTATGGGTATAATATAATTTTGTTCAGAGTAGATACTGGAATTTGATTCAAAATATTTTATTTTTTGAAACTAGCTTCCAGGTCTTTGCTTAGTTAGATCAGGTTGTATCAGACCAGTAGCAAACTAGTTTTAAACATTTATACCAGAAAGAGATCCTTGGATTCGCAGAAAACCCAAGTAATATATTTTCTTAAAACAATTTCCTTTTTTGAAGGAATCAAACTTCTCAATACTTTCAAAAGTTATTCCCTGATGGCACCCCTTTAAGGAAAAACCATAAAAGAATTTACACAAACAACTCCTAGGGTCCATTTTTATATAAAAAATAACTATAGCAGAACACTCCGTGTAGTAAAATACTTTTTATATCCTTTATGAAATACTCCAAATACAAGTAGTTATTTAGCAAAATTACCAAAAAAAACTCGTTTCGTGTTATACTCAATCATCATCAACCTCAAGTGGTTTTTGCTGCACCCAATTGTGCTGCATGGAGGAGAAGTCAATAAGGAAGTAAACTTAAAAAATTAGCCATAAAAACACGTTGACCTAAATTAATGACAGTGACTTCATTCATGGCCTTTATGGGCTGCAATATCAAGACAACGGTTTTTTTCTTGCAAAAAAAAAAAAAATCAATTTAAAAAGAATCAGTCGGTTTAGCCGACAGATGTATACCCTCAGCCAATGTTCGATTATTTAAATGTACAGGGTGAGATAAAAAACGCAACAAAGTCAAACGCCATAATTTTTAATTTTTTTTTTAAATTTTATTGATTGAAAGCAAAAAATGTCGGAAATAGCATCAAATTTTAGAATAAGTTTAGATTTGTTGGAATTGGCCATCTTTGGCACGAATTATGACCTTCAAACGGCCAATGAAACCGTCACACGCTGCCAGAATGTTGCTCTGTGGTATTTTGGCCCATTGAGATGATCGACACTTGCTTGAGATGATCGACACTTTGGTATTTTTTATGGCCCACCTTGCTTTCCAAAATACTCCAGACACAATAGTCTAACGGATTGGTATCCGGAGCATTTGGTGGCCATTGTGCGCTGAAAATGAAGCAAGGAACGTAATTTTGTAACCAGTCTTGGGTGACGCGTGCTGAATCCTGTTGGAATGTCAGAGGTCTGCGGCCAAAAAGTTTGCGTGCCCAAATCTTTAATACACCCCTAGAATATTTTCGCGATAATATTCGGCATTTATTCTGATGCCACGGTCGATTAATACGAGCGGAGAGGGACCATCGGCTGTTATGGCGACCCACACCATCACCATGGCCGGCGCTTGAGTTCTGGTGGCCAATCGAAGATGCACATTTTCAGCTGACCTCTTTGGCAAATAAAAACTATCATTTTGTTTGTTTACAAACTGCTGGACAACGAATCTATTCTCATCGGAGATCAAATTCGGCAGTTCACCACTTTCGGCCAAGCGAAGAAACTCTATTTTCTATTTTTGAATCTATTTTCTTTCTGTTGCAGCTCATTTTTCAATATTTGCCGAATGGGCGATATGTTCAGCTCACGAGACATTTTTCTGCCACTGCGACGCGGGTTTCGATCAAGTCGCTTTTTTCCTTTCCGAACCATTTTTGCTGATGTTGCTGTTTTCTTTCGTCCACTTCCTTGACGTCGAGTTACGCTACCAGTATCACGGGAACGAGCGATGTTACGAGCCACAAAAGATTTATTCACATTTAAATGCTGGAGTGCTCTAACGATAGCCACTTGTGGTTTTCCTGCCAAATATAAAGAAATCACACTATCACGCTTGAATTCCATCACGAATAACTTTTTTTCTGGAAAATTCTCAACAAAATGTTTTTCTTCGCTTGTAAACAATATAATGAGCTGTCACTGGAATAATTTTAACAGCTGTCGGACGGGTGGCTTAGAAATGAGAGCAATCTGAAGCTGGTTGCATTTTTTTATATCACCCTCTATGTATATTTTCGCCCAATACTAAATTGTACCACTTTTATTTTTCGAAACATTTTTGGGACGCATTTCCAAAATCACCTCCAAATCTCAACCTCAGATACCAACTGAATATCAAATTTCAGAGTTGTACACCTTCAACCAAGACCAAATTTGGTACAATTCAGTACTTTTCGTACAATTATAGTATATACTTCCAAGACCACCTCCATATATCTAGGCTGCACATGAACAGCGATCCTAATACCAAATTTCAGACTGCAAACACTATATGTTCACCTAATACCAAATGGTACCAAATATAGTACTATTTAATACTTTTCATCCACTTGTACTACACATTTCCAAAACATCAAACCTACCACCAACAGGGACCCCAATAAAAATTTTCAAAAATTTAGCTTCATCTGTTCAACCTTAACCAAACTGTATTCCATTGGGTCCAAACTTGGTACATCGTAATATTATTATGAAACTTAGATCGAGTTCGGAGATGCGGAATATCGGTCCACTCTTTCTGGTAGCCCCCTGCTGCCTCCCAACTGTTTCGGAACCTCCTCTATAAAAGGTCAACTGTTTGAATAATTATAACTCAAGGCTGGGGATATACATTTGTCGGTAAAACCGATTGATGCTATTTCCAGGAATTAGTTTTCTTACCAAATTTCAAGATCCGTTCATAAAGTTCAAGATGGTACCAAATTTAGTGCATTTTAGTACTTTTGGTACACATATTGTCAGAATTTCGAAAACCCCTTTAGTTTGTTCATCCTACACAACATCAAAGACTCTCACTTCAAATTTAAGATTTCAAGCTTATTCCACATAAATTACAGAAAACGCAGAGCTGTATAGTACTAATCCTTGAAATCAGGA